CTGTGCGCGGGCTCCTTCGCGCTCCGCGGCCCGCCCTGAGGGGTCCCCTCCAAGGCCCACGGACCCGCGTGTCCTCGCTGTCGCCTCCGCGGCTCGGCCCCTGTCCGGGATCCCGGTGGCGACGCCTGTCGGAGCGGCACCGCTCCTGGGCCGTGTCCGCCTCATCATCCCCCGCCGCTCGCTCCCGCACAGCCCGGCTTCCCCGCGTGTGCGGACGGCGGGTGGCACGATTGGGAGTGCCTCGGCCAAGGTCACGCGGGTGGGACCCGGGAGGTGCCCGGATCCGGGGCTGGGGACTCGCAGGAGGACAGCGTCGGGGGGCGGCCCTGCCCGGCTTGTGGTTCCTTTCTGATGCTTTCTATTGACCCTCCCGGGAGGGCGTCCGGGAAGAAAGTGGTGTCAGGTTGAAAGCGCCCTGCTGTGCGTGCTGCTCCGCCTTTGCTAGAATCCCCGTGCTGCCTGCTGCGACACCCCAGCGGAGCCTCGACCGAGGGCCAAGTCAGTTCAGAAAGTGACTTGCTGGTTGGGGTCAGATCCCGAGGACAGGTTTAAGGAACAGATACCCAGGTAGTTTATGGCATTTGGTTTCTAGTTCGCCTTCCCATTCTTTCTAATACTTGCTTGGATAAGTCGGTCGTTATCTATTGTAATGGGATTTTCTGTACTCTAATGAAGTCGTTGCCCTTTGTAAATTAGTTTTCTACCTAGAAAAGCTTGTTTCCTGTGTGTTTAATGACCGGAACAAATAGCCCACTCCAAGGTTTATACCATTGTCTTTTATCTTAAAACTGTAGAAGCAGTCTGCTTTATTTTCCTCGGAGGAGCTAGCTAGCGTCCATGCTTTCTACGTTGACTGCCACTGGAAGAATCTACTGCAAAGTTTATGAGAACGTTAAGTGACTCAGGCTTTGGGGGCAAAACTGAAAAACCATTTTTAGTTTACTGCTGGACTTGAGCAACTATTACTTCAAAAATAGTGACATGCATTTTGAATGCAATGCGTGCGTCTTAATTTTTCTTGACGGCACACTTGTGGCAAAGCATTTTTTCCTCAAAATTGAATATTCCATATTTTGTACTAACTCTCTTCTTAGGGAAAGTTAAATTTTTTTTTAAGAGCCGAGGTACGTTTAAACCGGAGTACTAAATCAGACAATTCAAATTAATAGTTTATTTTATAGTGTTATAAACCATACAGTGTGCCAAGGGACAGATTTCTCCTGAGAAGTAACCCTGTGTCAGGGGATGGACGGTGAATTTGTGCTTGTAATAAAGGGTCAGTAGCTTGCCACAGCAGGGAAGTGATATATATATGTTGCCTTCTATCTCCCTTATCCTGTTCGCTAATAGTTTCACTGTTGCTTTTGGGGGGAAAGGAGCAGGTTTGTATCTTTTTTTTTTCTGTCTGGGTTTAGCAATGTAGCAAAATAGGAAAGAGGTCTTGTGTCCATCTGTTTGGCGGAGACTGAGACAGCAGGGCAGGATAAGTATACAATTGTGAGGAAGCGGTGGTGAGTTCATAAGCAGGAAGGACCTTTTTAGAAGTATTTAAGGATGTTAAGAATAGCATTGGATTCCTTTCTTTAAACAGTTATTGTGGGCAGTATTCAGAAATGGGATAAGATATTGTGGGCAATGCCCAGGAAGACACTTGAGAAAGGTGGAAGCTTCCATCTCTCTATGGACTTTTCTACTGAAAACATGACTTCTGGGCCGAAGACTGAGTGAAAGTTCTTTACTATTATGCAGCTAGTTAGATTGCAGATCCCACTCCCACCCCCTCCGTATTTCGTAAGCCAGAAGGAAATGTAAGAAATAGTTAATTAGTATGATTTAAATCAGACTTTGTCATGGTCATGTTGTGCGGTGTACACTTGTCTTGTTCTTGTTTAGAAGCTGTCATGTAAGCATGAGGAAGATGGCTTTTGGTAGATTGTAGTGACCGTACAGATGTGCCAGTAGCTACTCTGCTCTGACTGAAAAATTTCAAGACTGGTAGTGATGTTTTTAAGCGTCCACTGAATGCCAGCTGTGAGCTAAACATAGACGAATAATCACCTTCCATATGCCCAAGCAAAAAATTGCTTCTGGGGCTGGAGAGATGGCTCAGCGGTTAAGGGTATTGCCTGCTCTTCCAAAGGTCCTGAGTTCAATTCCCGGCAACCACATGGTGGCTCACAACCATCTGTAATGAGGTCTGGTGCCCTCTTCTGACCTGAAGGTATACACGCAGACAGAACATTGTATACATAATAAATAAATATTTAAAAAAAAGTTGCTTCTGATCTGTAATAATAAAATAAGATGGGTCCAGTAGGAAATAAATATCAGATTTTAGCTTTATTAATTTACTCATTTATTTCGACTATTTATGAGTATGCAGCATTTGAGAATGGATTGACTTGTATATGAAGTTACTTCATGTGGGGGAAATAGTCAGTAGCTTTAGATGCCTGCCTGTAATACTCAGTTGTTTTTAGAAATACTTGTATGAAATGTTTTCATACAAGAAAAAGACATCCCATTGAGGCCGCCTTTAAACTCAGCACTTGGGAGGCAGAGGCAGGTGGATCCCTGTGATCAGGCCAGCCTGTTCTACATAGTGAGTTCCAGAACCCAGGACAGCCAGAGTCACATAATAGAACTTGTCAAATAAATAAATAAATAAATAAATAAAAGACATCCTGTTGATAACTTGTCACATAACTAGGAGTCTGTAACAATTAAAGAGTAACTAAGCAATTGAAGGGTTAATAGTTTTCCTTGTAGTTTCTGTATGATAAAGAATATGTACATTGTGATTCCTAGAATATATTTAAGTGAACATTTGTTTGATGAACCATTGGACAAATTGAATAGCTTTGATTTTTAAATGATAGTGCTTTGGTAATTTTTATACCACACTTTCTTTGAACTGGATTTTTTCTTGGATGTAAAAGAAAATTAGAGTCATTTAGGATTTGAATGTTTTTTAGAATAAAATACTGTTTGAAAATGAAACTCTTAATTTGACTTGTCGGTCTGAAAACTGTACACTGCACAGGTTGTGGTAATGCCTTTAGGCAGCTGTGCTTTTTATAGTTTAACCAGTGAGTTCTTGGTTCTGGCTTCTGTTTATCCTCTTCTTGAAGAATAGATAGTTGTTAGCCGTGCCAGAGTTAGGGGTAATCTCAGAGGGCTCCTGATGCAGCTTTGTAGCAGGTACAGTAAATGCTCCCTGAGAATTTCCATGTCAGGTGTTCCCTCCCATAACTAAGGGTGGTTATGCCGGTCCATTGAAGTCTGAGCTAGTAACAGTAAACGTAAGACAGTTTTAATGTTCATTGTTTTCAGTCGTGTTTGAAGGATCTTCCTTTTTTTCTCTCATACCCCAAGAGTAAGGCTAGCTTTTCTATCTTTTACAGCTATTAAAAGCTCAAGTTAGACAGAGCTGGGCATAGTGGTTTTCTCCTTTAATCCCAGCACTTGGGAAACAGAGTCAGACAGAGTTACAGAACAGTCTGTTCTACATAGTGAGTTCCAGGACAGCCAGAACTACATAGTGAGACCCTGTCTAGGACCCGGCGGGCCCCCCCCCCCCAGAAAAAGCTCTAGTCCAATCTATTCCAATTTAAAGCATCTGTCAGATATTTAATTTAGAACTACTTTCCTCTCTTACCCAAAGTCTGGCCAATTACTGACTAAAGCTCTTGGGATACAGAGGGATTGCTATTTATTACTATGCAGCTTTTCCTGTACCTCTTTGGGGATCTGCTTGGATAGGGACTGGTCAGAAGAATGGAAAAATGCACTTATTCCTTATCTGTTCCTCCTTAATTAATGGTGGCGGGGTTGACACACAAGCTGATATTACTGGTGAGTTTTTGCATGGCGACTCCCTGCTGCACAGTTTCTGCATATGAAATTTCTCTGGCCAGGCCTTTTCCATTTCTCACTCCACCAGCTTGTTCCCTATAGTGTGTAGGGGTGAAGAGGGTTAAGAATCTTTTTCTGTGTAGTCAAGTTTTTTGATGATGCCAAGACCACCTGAGTACCTCTGTGCTTGCCATTGCTGCTCAAGCCGCTGGAAACTCACTCCTTTGCTTGCGGGCTGCTTAAGACTGCCATTCTGTGCCTGCTGCTTTCTGGGAGGCAGAGCCTGTTGTGAGTCTGCTGTGCAGGCCGAAAGTGAATTGGACTGTGCAGTGTCAGTCTCCCTGTCTCCTAGACGTTCCGAGTTTTAGTGAATAGAATGTTTGTTTGTTGGTGAACACTTTCTGTCTTCTTCTCCCTGAAGACATGGGATACTTCTTCCCTCTCTCTCTGTCAGTTACTTCTCCTGAGGAAAAGGATGTTAAGGAGGTACTCGGAGTGCCAGAGCCCTGAGAGCTGTATGTGGCAGGTAGGTGAAGGCCATGCCTAATTGCTCAGCTGTCTGTACCGTGTAGATGCTATCCCCCAAATGAGCTACCCATAGATTAAAAAGATTTCATCATATTTCATGCATGTACAGGTTTTTTTCTTGTAATATTGTTGTGCTAACAATCATGTGTATATATTTACTTGTATGTGTTCAATGTTGTAAGTAATCTAGAGGTGCTGTACAGCAGAAGAAGGCGTGAGCTATATGGAAATACTGTGCCACTTTACGTAGGCTGTTGAGCAGCACAGACCTTGGTATCAGTGGGGGTCCTGAAACCAATCCCCATGGGTAAGGGAGAACAACTGAATGTTCTCTGCTCCATCTGTGTGGGTTTCTGGTCTGTACAGCATCTGATTAACAAATAGTATGACATTCTGTGGCCTGAGGTCTTTCGGTGTAAAATTTATATTTTCCTTCCTTTTTCTTCTGTCGGATTTTTGTTTTGTGTCTTAAGAGCCTTGTTTCTTGGTACCCAGCTGATGAAATGACAACTGGATGTTAATTTGTGACTGAGTTTTAAATCCGGCTATGCCTCAGTACATAAATCAAGCTGAGGAGTAGATGTGAGGCCGTGGGCTGATCTTGTAATTTTATGTTTTTTTCTGGTGTTTGCTTTACTGAGACTATAAATTCAAATAGGAATATAGTACTAGGGCCTTTTTCTTTCTGTCATCTAAACAAACCAGTTAAATCTGCTACATGACTTTTTATCTGATAAAGGAAAAGCAGCTTTGTATCTGGAAATGCAGTAATTATGGGTAGTCACTTCACACTTCATCCAGAAGGTAGTTTGTGAACACCTTCCACCATGCTGTTGTAGGTTTTGGAGAAACAGCAGTGAGTTAACAAAAACAAAAGACCCTGCTCTCATGAAGCTTGCACTCCAGAGTGGGGAAATAGAAAAGGTGCAGGTAAAAAAGTAAGTCCTCGCCTGTTAGATGTTGATATGTGCGAAAGAGTGCAGCAGGGAAAGGAGATGAGAAGTGGGCTTGGGAGGTTCTGCAACTTTAGCTAAGGTCACAAGGAGGTCTTCACTGAAGGAAATGAAGAGGCCCTTCCCTGCACTACACCGGGAGCTTGTTTGGTTAGTCTGGTGACAGATGAATGAGTGGGTGGGTAGGGGTGTACTGGGATGGCAGGGAACAGGGAGGTGGTGAAGCCTTATAGGTCTTTGTAAAGGCCCTGGTTTTTACTCTTGAGTGGCATGGGATCCTGTTGAAATGACAGTGTTTCAGCCTTGGATGAACAGGAAGGTTCTGGTGACTGGATTCAATCCCAGAATTTCCTCTAGAGTTGGTCTTGAGAGGGGATAGAGTGGGGCATCATCTGACCATCCAAGGCATCAGGGTTTTCAGAAACTCAGAGTAATTCTACTGAACAGCTGGGGTTGGCATCCACTTTACTGCAGCTTTTTGAGTAGTAGGAGATACTGTGTAGTGTTAGGGGACATGGGCTCCCCTCATTTGAATCCTGGCTCTGTTTCTTCCCAACCCTCTGCTTTGGGCTTTGATTCTTCTCATCTGTAATATTGTTGTTATAAGGATTAAACTAGTATTTAGAACAGCATCTAAAAAGAGGTAAATGTCTGTGTTGGTTTTTTTTTTTAAGTAAACACTTGAGTTGTGTTTTATTCAATTATGGGATTGAGAATGGGTTGCAGTGGGGCAAATACTAAAAAAGCAAGGCGATCCATGCAGCAATCCAGGTAGCAGCAAGAATGGAAAGTGGAAGGAATCTGTATATATTTAAAATACAGAACCAACACGATTTATTGATGTATTGAACATGGAGTGAGAAAGGAGAACTTTATTCAAGCATGACTAGGTGAGGTACTTTGCTGGAACTAAAGTAGTTCCAGTTCCAGTTTGAAAGGAGGACATGGTGGTTTTCTTAGATGGACAAGACAAGAGAGTCAGGTTTATGAGGGGGAGTGTCTGGGTTTAGTTCTGTGAGTTGCAGATGTATGTTAGGGAAGTAAGTGGATTATATATTGTGGGCTGTGTATCCATGAGTCTAGAGTTCAAGGATGTTTAAGACTGAAAGTTCCAGACTGGAACTCTACTGTTTTAAACATGTGAAAGTGAGCTCACCAAGAGACCAGGTTTAAATAGAAATGAAGCCTTAGACTATATCATCATTCACAGATCTGGGAGAGGAAATGTCCCAAAGTATTTCTGATGCTCTTTAGGATGAAAGACAATTATAATTATTTCATTTTAAAAAGAGACTTTATTGAGAGTTATCCCAGTATAATTCATCTGCTTAAAGTTACAGTTCATTGATTTTTAGTGTATTTGCAGCTGTATAGCTGTCACCAAAATTTTGAATATTTGTATCATTACCTCCCCCGCAAAAGAAAACCCAACATACTTCCCATCCTCATTTCTTCATTTCTTACCTACCCTCCTGTAAGTAGACAACTGCTGATCTAAGTGATTTACGTGTTTATTCTGGATATTTTATACCAGTAGAATCCTATATAGTATGCTCTACTAAGAGAGAAAGAAGCCATATCCATTAAGACCAAGTTTCTGGATTCATTAGATTTTAAAACACTTGGTAAAGGTGGAGCTAGACGATCTCTTCATTGAAAAGATACATTTTCCTCTTTGTGATTAGTAAGAAAATTGTGAGGTAGTATTTTGAGGCTATTTGATTTTTTTTCTTCCTGTTTCATTTGGTGGTTGTAATATCTGTTGGGGTGTTTACATCTGATCACTCAGTGGTGGCATTATATACAGTGGTGATTTGCTGTTGCTGTCATGTTTCCAAACATCTAGAGTTCACAGAATTTCAGATTCAGATATATTTGTGCAGAGGTTTCTCTTTTCTGTTTGCCCTTTTTTAGGCTCTCAGGCTATAGTACTTTTCTGTGAGGAAGCACACAAAGTCTGATTGTATCTTTTTCTGTGCAATATCTATTCATGTCTGAGTCATTTTTTGTTGAATTTTGATATTTTTTTTTATATTTCTTGGCAATGGAAAATAGCCCTTTGTGGAATAAGTTGCAAACATACTCTGTTGACTTTGATTATGCATATTAATTTTTGCCATCCAAATTCTTTTAAAATCATTTGTGGTTATTTATCAGTGATTTCTTGAATCGTTACTGTTTCATTTATTTATTTGTTTATTTATTTATTTTTGAGACGGTGTCTCTCTCATAACCCTGGCTGTCCTGGAACTCACTTTGTAGATGAGTTTAGTTTTTAACTCAGAGATCTGCCTGCTTCAGCCTCCCAAGTGCTGGGGTTAAAGACAAGGCTCAAGATGCTGTTAATCTTTAAATTTGCTTTTTGATGTTAATCTTCCCCCTTTTACCCAGTTCCAAGTAACTAGAATTGTGCTGTTTATTATGCAGCTTTTTGTGCCTTTTTTCTACTTCGTATAATAATGATTTTTGAGTTTTATCCAAACTGTTACATGTCAATAACTACTTTGTATAACAAACCAGCGTGCCATCGTTTAGCTATGCTGCATTTATTGTCTGTTCATTTGCTGAGAGGCATCTTTGTCTCTAGTTTACAGCCTGTAAATAAAGCTGCTCTGAGCATCGTCAGTCTTTCTGTGCTTGTTTTCATTTCTCTTGGGCTGATATGTGGGATGAGGTGGGTGGGCCACAGGGTAGAATGATGTCTGACGTGGCTTACTATTTTATATTTCTCATCAACAGTGTATACATAAATTATGAATGCTTTTTGTCCTTGATGATACACTGTATTGCCAGTCTGCTTTATTTTAGCTGTTCTCTGGAGTATATATGCTACTATTTGTTTAAGCTTGGGATAACTGAAATGTTATTTACATGCAACCAATTTTACCCATTTTAGCATACAGTTCTGTGAATTTTGGCATAAGAATACAACAGTATAACTACCACAATCAAAACGTGCCCCTCAAAAAAAATTTTCAAAGTGTTTTGTAGTTGATCCTTTCCCTAGTCATATATCTTTTCTACGTGGTGGGGTGGATGCTTCGCTCTTTTTACTTTGCAAGAAGTTTATTCTTTTAATATCTTTTTTTATCTTTTACAGTTTCATACTTATATACAGTGTATTGTGATTATATTCACCCCCATTACTCTCTATGATCTACTTCCCTTTCTCTTTCAACTCCTTATTCTCCTCAACTAGTCTCCCAGTGGCTGCAGGAAAGCTTGTCAGGAAAGGATGGAGCCCCATAGGTACTTCCTGTGTCTGTGATGGAATGTTGAAGGGCCCAGTCTTGTGAAGGTAACCATAGCTGCTGTTTGGAATTGCAATGGCAGTGCCATGTCTTGATGGCAGTATTTTATGGCACTTCCCCTACTCCCTCCAGTTTTTTAATCCCCTCCCCCCTTCTTCAATGGGCCTGGAGAGGTGATGGTGATGTGTATATCCTGTTTAGGACTGAGTTCTCAACAGTCACTGTTTCTTGACATTTTGGTCAGATATGAGCCTCTACATGTGAGATATGAGCCTTCTGAAAAAGAAACTTCTTGGTCCTAGGCTTCCAGTGACACTGGTCTGTAAGTTTATGGTAGTTTGACAAATGTCCATTTAGGGCAACAGTGGTGTAGTAAGCTCTCCCTTTGGGCCTCTGTACTTCCCAGCAATAGGCTTTGATCTGACTATAATACCAGATTTGTATTCCTTCCTGTGGAGCAGGCCTCCAACCCAATCACAAAGTGGTTGGTTATCCCTACTACCAACTTAGCTACTGTCGCTGCAGGGGGCATAGCTTGCCTGGTGCCTAGTATTGTAGCATACAGGTCTACAGGTGGGTAAAATCATTGATTTTTTTTTTTCCTTAGCAGCCTTTATAGCACTTTCTAGCACGGTGAACTTAATCAAGCTAGCGGGGAAGGACCCTCCAGCTCGGTTCCAGCTTGATTTCTCTGTCCTATAACATGTAGACTTTATAGCTTTGATAAGCGCCTAGTTCACCACAAGTAAGGTATAGGACATTTCATCACACCCCAAATTTACCATTTTGAAGTCACCCTTTTCTTTACCTAGTAATCTGTTCTGACTCCACAGCATGTTTAGATTGCCTCTCACTTAGCACAGTACAGATGAGATTTCCGTTGCTCTGTGCGTCAGTAGTTCACCCCTTTCCAAGTAAAGCTCCATTGCACTGCGCTCACTCGGCAGCCGGTCAATTGGGTTGCTTCTGATTCTTGACACTTACGAGTAATGCTGCTGTAAACAGCTGCTTACAGGATTTTGAGTGAACAGATCTTCATTTGATTTGGATAAATACTCAGAAGTGGAATTTCTGGCTTGTATTATATGTATTTTTAACTTTATTAGAATCTGTTGCTAACTTGTTTTTCAGAGTTGCTAAACCATTTTGCACCCTGGCAGTGTGTATGAAAGTTTGCTTGTCTCTCATCCCTGACAGTGGGTATTAGGTGCTTTGTTAGTTTTGTTTGGGCTGTCCTAGGAGACACTAAGAGTATCTCAAAGTTGTTTTTAGAAATCTGCCATATCTTCCTGAATAATGATGTGCATCTTTGCTAGCTGGTCTGTGAAGCTCTGTGTCCATTTTACTGTTGTTTGTTTTATTGAATTGTAATTAACTGTTCTTAGTGTTGGTTACCCGGTGTAGGTATACTGTATACGTTCTCTGATGTTTGTGGCTTTTTTCTTTTTCTTTTCCTTTCTTTTCTTTTCTTTTCCTTTCCTTTCCTTTCTTTTTGTCTCTTCTCTCTCTCTCTCTCTCTCTCTCTCTCTCTCTCTCTCTCTCTCTCGTACTGATAGTGCTAGAACCTAGGTCCCTTACATGCTGAGTGAGTGCTGTAATACTTGTAAAGATTTATTTTTATTTTTGTGGACGTTTTGCCTTCATGTATGTGTATGCACCATAGGCATGCAGTGCACGGCAGAGACTGAAGAGGGCATCAGATCCTCTGAAACTAAAATTGCAGGCAATCCTGACCTGTCATATGGGTTTTGAGAATTGAACCCTGGCCATTTCTAACCCCTCTAACAAGTTGAATCTGTAGTTCCTCTTTACTTTTGAAAAAAATTGGATTGTATATCCTTTTGTTTCCCAGTTTGTCTTTTGTTGATGGAATTCTTGTGGAGCAGTTAGTGTCTTCCTGTGTCTTCTATATTTCTAATAAATTGGTAATTGAATACAGGAGAATCTAGTAACTCAATCAGATTTAGATAAAATCTTTTCTTATCATGTTGATTTCACAGGTGATGTTTGAATGTCTTCCATAAGGAAATACATAATACCTGGTCCATCTTTCTTTGTTGTTTGCTTATTCTGATTCATTTTAATCTGAAGAGTTTAAAGAGTCTAATGCCTAGGAATATGTGTTTAAGCAGTTATTATTTTCCTGCTGTCTTTTGTTTGTTTTTGAGACAGGGTTTCTCCACGTAGCTCAGGCTGTCCTGGAACTCTCTCTGTAGACTAGGCTGTCCCTGAACTCACAGAGATCTGCCTGTCTCTGCCTCCCAAGTGCTGGGATTAAAGGCGTGTGAATCCACTGCCAGTCCCCTTCCCCCTATCTTAATTGGGAAGCTCACTTCCCTCTCAGCATTGACTTCTGAGAAGCGGAAATGCTGATGACTGCTTTTCCTTTTTCCTTTTTTTAGGATTGCTTTGAAGATTACGATTATGCTTAGAAGAGAACCTGCCACAGAGGCTAGCGTACAGCAGTGATCAGTAAATGTTAATTATTGCTGTGTGAATTTAAAAATATTCTGAAGGATTAGAGAAATGGCTCAGAGGTTGAAGAGTGTGCTGTTTTTAAAAGAGTACCCAGGTTCGACTCCTAGTACCTATACCAGACAGCTCATTACCTCTTGTAACTCTAGTTCTGCAGGATCAGGCATTGACTTCTGAACTTGGCACCTGCCCTGCTCTTGCATGTGCACATCCCCATACCCAGATACAGGCGCACACACAATTAAAAATAAAATAAATCAGTTGGGCATGGTGGTACATGACTTTAATCCCAATACTCAGGAGACAGAAGCAGGAAGATCTCTATTAACAGGAGGCCAGCCTGGCTCCATATTGAGTTTTAGGCCAGCCAGGAATACATAGTGAGACTTTGTCTTAAACAAAAAAATAAATCTTTTTGTTTACTTATTTTTTAAATTGATTTTATTCAGCTGTGTTTTTTTCTGCTCCCCTCACTTCCTCTCCCCTCCTCTTCAACCTTCCCCCATGGTCCCCATACTCCCAATTTACTCAGGAGATCCTGTCTTTTTCTACTTCCCATGTAGATTAGATCCATGTATGTCTCTCTTAGGTTCCTCATTGTTGTCTGGGTTCTCTGGGATTTGAAATTTGAATGGGTAATTTTTAGCACACTTGGTTTTATTTTAGAAGGAAATCAAGTGAGTTATTTAATTGAGTAGAACGGCTCTTCTTTGTCCAGTTTGAAGTTGTGATTTGTAGGCTGGTTTTCTTTGCTTTATGTTTAAAAACCACTTATGAGTGAGTACATGTGATAATGTATTTCTAGGTCTGGGTTACCTCACTCAATATGATGTTTTCTAGATCCATCCATTTGCCTGTAAATTTCAAGATGTCGTTATTTTTTTTCTGTTGTGCAGTGCTCATTTGTGTAAATGTACCACATTTTCCTTATCCATCTTTAGTCGAGGGGCCTTTAGGTTGTTTCCAGGTTCTGGCTATGACAAACAATGCTCTATGAACATAGTTGAGCACATGTCCTTGTGGTACTATTGAGCATCCTTTGGATATATACCCAAAAGTGGTATTACTGGGTCTTGAGGGAGGTTGTTTCCTAATTTTCTGAGAAATTGCCATACTGATATCCAAAGGGGCTATACCAGTTTTGCACTACCACCAGCCAAAAAATAAATCTTTAAAAAAATTAAAACCATGAATAATCTTAAAAGGTAGGTCATCTTGACTTATGAGGAAATTGAAGTTTGAATGGGTAATTTTTAGCACACTTGGTTTTATTTTAGAAGGAAATCAAGTGAGTTATTTAATTGAGTAGAACGGCTCTTCTTTGTCCAGTTTGAAGTTGGATTTAGTGGCACATTTGTGGCAAACTTAAGTCCTAAATACTTTCTGCCAGTGCGTCCGATGTTGGTGTGAGCTCCTGTTACTGGTCTCCCCTGTAGTGGGGTTTGTGCTGCTTGTGGAATAGACTGAACTGTCGTCCAAGTTTAATCTTGATGTTTGCTTAGAAATTACTCTTCCTCGGGCTTACTGCTGCTATTTTCATTCTACAGTGTAATGTTCAAGCCCAGAAATGCCTTATGTGGATCGGCAGAATCGCATTTGTGGTTTTCTAGACATTGAAGAAAATGAAAACAGTGGGAAATTTCTTCGACGGTATTTCATCCTGGATACCAGAGAGGACAGCTTCGTATGGTACATGGATAATCCACAGGTTTGTAAGAACCCAAATCACCTTATAACAGCATAAAGAGTTGTATTTATTACAGCGTTTGATGTAGATTATGAGTTTGTCTTCCTAAACAGTTCATATTTAGATTTATTTCCACTGGTTTAACTTTCTCCCCTGTTGGTACCTGTGAACTGTACTCCTATTTGAACTTCAGAGGATAAAATTAAGTTTATTTGATTGAAATTAAAATTTATCCTTGCACATCTATTTTCTCCCTCTTGTGAGGGAAGTACTCTTCTTGTAGAAAAATGTTGACTAACCACAGATTTAAGATACTCTACCTAAGATTGTGAGTGTTCCCATTTGGAAAACCTACTGGAACTCTTTGATACTCTTGGGCTCATGTAGTTCTTTCATCGTGTGTGTCCCTTTGAGTGTCAGTCACTGCGATGAGTCTGTGACAGAAGTTGACTTTAATTTTGTTGTTTTCTTGAAAACTTTTGGGCTAGATGTAAGAAGTTGAAAAATAGAATACTACTTTTAATTACTGAGAGATGGCTCAGTAAGTCAAGGCACCGTGGCCAAGTCTGAGGACCTGCGCGCTCTTCCTGGAATCCATATGGTAAAAGGAGAGAACAGACTCCCAAAACTGTTCTCTGACCTCCGCATTTGAGCCATGATGTGCATGCCCTCCCTCCTGCCTCAATAAATATAATATAAATTAAAAAAATCCCAGTTTTGGGGCTGGAGAGATGGCTCAGTGGTTAAGAGCATTGCCTGCTCTTCCAAAGGTCCTGAGTTCAATTCCCGGCAACCACATGGTGGCTCATAACCATCTGTAATGAGGTCTGGTGCCCTCTTCTGGCCTGCAGACATACACACAGACAGAATATTGTATACATAATTAATTAATTAAAAAATAAAAAAGAACCTTTAAAAAAAAATCCCAGTTTTAAAATCAGTGAGAGACCTGAAATTAAAAATTTTCTGCGGAATAGTTGAAAGCTTCTTACCTGTGGAGCTCTTTATTTCCAGTCAAAATTATTCTAAAAGCTAAAAATGGAAGTGTGTGTCATGGTGAAGTATGTGGAAAGTGAGGAATGGGTCTGGCCAGCTTCCTACCCAGTGCGTTGATTGTATGGCCTTGGATAGAGCAGGAATTTTTAGAGAGGTCACCATAACCAGAAACAGGTCCCCTGTAACTAGTCTTTAGTCTTCATTATCTGTACTGATGTGATAATGTGTAAGTATTCCTTTATATAGTCTGGGGGTTATAGATGACCTTAGTGTTAATTCAGTCTCCTTAATTTCTTCAACTTAGATATAGTTCGAATGACACACAGCTAAAAAGTGTGTATCATATTTGAAATTGTCAATTATTATTTTTATCAGAGCTAAAATCCAGTTCCTTGGCTTTCCTCACCAGTCTTGATTTTACCCTCTGATTCTCTACCATATAGGTTTAGCCCTTTATTTACAGGTAATCTTGGAAATTTGAATGGATGGGATGGGTTATATCTTAATTCAGCTTATATTAGCTGTGTACTCACTTTGTATGGTGAGACATTTTAGCTGGCAGTAGCATCCTCTGTCAGTGTCCATGCAGAGCTTATTAACACTTTGTGTTACTCTTTTATCCCTGAGTCTAAGGATGTCCTCAGGAGGCAGTTACCTGGCCGAGCAAGCAGCTGCATGGTTATTATCTTCATCTCCTTGGTCTGAGTCAGTGAGAAATAACAGGACAGCAGGAATCAAAAGTTCATGTTGATTCCTTTTCCTCAACATATGAATTCGATTCTTTTCTTTTATGGTCTTGTGTGTTTAGCTGGGACATGATTCAATCAGAAGTAACACTGAATCCTCTTTGCAAGGTCTCAGCTATTGGTTCCCGCAGAGCCAGGGCGTAGGTTGTCAATGTTTTACCCTGATTGGTCTCTTTGCAGAGGACCTTACATATGGTTCTTGTGAATTCTCCATAAAACCCTCTGGTTTTTTTTATTATTATTTTTGTGTGAATTCTTCTTAAAATTCTCTCTTTTACCAAAACTTCTCACTTAACAGATATATACAAAAATAAATACGAAACGAAGTTTATTTGTTACCGTGTATGAAACACAGACTTAGAATTAGAAAAAGTTACAAAAAGCAGAGGGAGCTGACATTCTAGTGGAGATGGTGACACTTAAAATTGACCTGAAGATTGAATTTGACTTTGGCCCAGAAGTGGAGAAGTAATGATCCCTGGATTCAGGGTAGCAGTGGCAAAGGAGTCACTGTAGGTGTCTGCAGAGTGTCTGGATTAGTAATCCATTTTGGCAGGGAGGGGTCTTCTGAATTTGGCACTCAGCTAGTTCTTTTCACATAGACTTTTTGTGCATACGGGGCGGTTGTAAGGCACGTGCTGATGATTGCCCCCATCTGTACTAAGCTCAGGATACCCCACTGAGAGCTAAACTTCTAGCCTTTCGGTGTTTGTTTGTTTGTTTGTTTTTGGACAGGGGCACAACAAGCCCAAGCTGGCCTGAAACTCTTGATCCTCTTTCCTCTACCTCCTGTGTATTGGAATTACAGGTGTGGAACACCACACCCAGCTCACATGAACTTTTTAAAAGACATTTGTTCTTTTTGTAATTAGTATATTGAGTTTCTGAATATTGTATATAATTAAGGTCTTTTTTCAGTCTTTAGTCCTTACTTTTTTTTTTTTTTTTTTTTTTGAGTTTTCAAGACAGAATTTCTCTGTGTAACAGTCCTAGCTGTCCTGGAACTCACTCTGTAGACCAGGCTGGCCTCAAACTCACAGAGATCCGCCTACCTCTGACTCCACAGTGCTGGGATTAAAGGTGTGCTCCACCACCTCCTGGCTCCTTACAGTTTTTTTTCTAGTTTAAGTGAACTTTTTAAAATCTTGTTTCTGTCAGTCAGTATAGTAGTCATTAATGCCAAGTTTGTTTCACCTTTAAATATAAAGACTAAGCCATACGAGATTGCCAATTTAGAGCCATTTTGAATGACTGAGAAGTAGTAGCAACTTCAAATGGTTCCACTTCATTGTATATGTCCAAGTGCTTAAGAGCTTTGATAAATAAGCAGTTTGTTTCGCCTCTCCTTGGAGAGCCACTTCCTTTTTCCACTGCTTTCTTTGTCACTAGACTTCAGTCTAAAAATCTACTCGAGTCTATTACGAGGACTCATTTTATGGCTATGTTTTGCTGAGGAAGTTGGTAATGATACAGAATTAATGAAGTATCTGTACTAGGAAGTGAATTTGAAGAGACTTGAAAAGTTTAGTATTTGGCAAGATGAGCCGAGGACTTACAAGTATACACAGCACATTTCCTTTAAAAAGAGAGTGAGTTAATATTTTTGAAAACTAAAAAGCATTAAAGTAGTTTATAGCATAGCACTTAAACCATTTAAATGATGTGTCCTCTGGCTGTTGCACTCTTTCTACCTACTCTTCTGTTGGGTTCCCTGAGAGGAGGGATTTGATGGAGCCATCTTGTTTATGACTGAGTTTCCGAGGTCTCTCACTGTGCACAGCGTCTGGCTGTAGGTCTCTGTATTTGTTCCCATCTGCTACAGGAGGAAGCTTCTCTCAGAATGGCTGAGCAAGGCGTGGATTTATTTCCTGCTTGGAGTCAAAAGGCCAATATTTTTAAAGTGATATATTTGATAAGTTTTACTAGATCAATGTAAAATGGATGGTTTTTTAAAACTAATTAAAACTATATTGCTTTGTGTCTCTAAATATTCTCCCATTGTTTACATAAACAAAATTTGGTCTTATAAATCTTTAAGCTCAAAAAAGAATTTTAGTTTAGCTACAATGAAAAAGACAGCTCTTTAGCTCTAGGCTATACCATAATGGAGCAGAGTGAGACTCACCTCCTTACCCCAGTTGTTTTCTTTTCGGTTTGTTTCAGTTTTTTACCTGCAGGGATTAGAACCTGTGGCCTCACAAATGCTAGGCAGGTGCTCTACCACAGAGCCACACCCACAGTCCTGCACTGTTATCTTGATATCAGATCTAGTAAATGTGTAAACTGAATAAAGTATACTTATAAAATGTTATTTTAAAAATTTTCAAATGTTTTTAGTACATTTAAACTATATTATAAAATAAATAATGTTGGATAATAATTGTATTTTAATATTTATTTTTAGAACTTGCCTTCGGGATCATCACGGGTTGGAGCCATTAAACTTACCTACATTTCAAAGGTAGACTATATATTATTTTTAAAATTTATTTTTTTTTTTGTTCTTTGGTGTTTCTGAGAAAGTATCTTAACTATGTAGCCCAGGCTAGCCTTGAATTCTCCATCTTCCTGAGTGCTGGGATTACAGGTGTGTGTCATCCTGTGCAGTTTTCATTGCATTATTCTCATGTGAATTCCTGTCCCCAGGTGGGAGTGTGAACAGATCAGAATAGCTTCTCTCTGTCATTTAGCAGTGATGCTCAGGTTCCAGTAATGATGAAGATTGTCCCTGCTTACTGTGACTAGTTCTTTAAGTTGATAAAACTGAAAGGAATATGAGATTAATTTATAGAATATGGCAAATTAGAGAAGTAATATTAATTTTTATGATCATGTACCTGGATGCTACAAAAGGGAGAAATTGCTGAGGACAGTGGCAGAGCTGTGGTGCGGGCAGAAGTGGAGGCAGGATTGCTAGTTTAAGGCCGGCTTTGGTTACCAGCAAGACACTGTCTGAAAGTTAAATAATGATCAAAAAGACCATAGAGAAGTCAGTTAACGGGTTCTGTCTTGAAGTTCTAGGAAAGAGTTGCTAAGTTTGTATTACTTTTTAAAGGTTTTTTCCCCAATTTTAAAAATTTCATTGCCTGACATTTTTAAGATTTATTTTTATTATTTGTATGTGTATGTACATACACATAGTATGTATTTGGGTGCCTGCAGATGCCAGAAGAGGGCATCAGATCCCCTGGAGCTGAAGTTAAGAGCCGCCTGACATGGTGCTGGGAACAGAAATTGGGGCCCCTGAAAGAGCAACAAGTGCTTTTAACCTTTGAACTCTCTCCACCCCCTATGTTTTATTTTGAGAAAAATGTACACTGTCATCATGTTGAAGTAATGATGGTTTCTCCTTTTTACTTTGCTCTTACTAATTTTTGCTTCTTAAAATTGATTTTGTGCCAGGCAGTAGTAGCACATGCCTTTGAGTTCAAGGCCAGCCTGTTCTACAGAGCAAGTTCCAGGACAGCAAGGACTGCTACACAGAGTAACCCTGTCTTGAGAAACCAAAATGAATGAATGAATGAATGAAATAGATCTTGTAGTACTGAATTTTAGTTTTCAAAAATTTAGGTTATATATTTGTTTAATAACCTTTTTGTTTGTTTTTTATTTTTTAGGCAGGGTCTCATTTTATAATCTTTGTTGTCTGTGAATTTACAATGTAGTCCAGGCTGGCCTTGAATTTAAAAATTTCCTTGACTCTGTCTTTAGAGTACTGGGATTAAAGGTGTAGTAAACCATGCCAGGGCACTTTTTTTTTGGAACAGGGTCTTTTTGTAGTTTAGACTGTTTCAAAGATTACTATGTAGTAATCTAGACGAGGCTGGCCTTAGACTCACAGAGATCCATCTGTGTCCCAAGTGTGGGATTAAAGGCCAACACTGTCAGGGGCTAGAGAGACGGCTCTTCCAGAGGTCCTGAGTTCAATTCCCAGCAACCACATGGTGGCTCACAGTCATCTGTAATGAGAACTGGTGCCCCTTCTGACCTGCAGGCATACAGACAGGCAGAACACTGCATGAATAGTCAATCAATCAATCAATCAATCAATCAATCAATCTTTTAAAAAATGACCACCACTGTCTTTTTTTTTTTTTAAAAAATAGTGTTTTGTAAAGTTAAGATTAAGTTACCGAGGTGCTATGCTAGCCCTATGGGTTTGTTTGTATGTGTAACTTTGTTTTACACAGAAGTTTTGAGCATCTGTTGATAATTTAAAATATGAGGTGCAAATGTTAGTACTATTGACACTTTTAGTACTGTTGATGGTAGTGACACACTTAGTACTTCTGAGCATATGCTGTTGTCTTGCGGCAGATGTGGATTGCTTTAACAGGACACCCAGTATGCCTTGTTTTAGGGTTTCTTTTGCTGTGAAGTGACATCATGACCACAATATATCTTCTAAGGAAAATATTTAATTTAGGGGACTTGCTTATAGTTTTCAGAGGTTCAATCCTTTATCATCATGGTGGGGAACATGGCAGTGTGCAGGCAGATGTGGTGCTGGCTACATATTGAAGTGCAGGCACAGGAAGTTGACTGAGACACTGGATAGTATCCTGAGCACAGAAAACCTCAAAACCTGCCCCCACAGTGACACACTTCCCCCAGACAAAGCCATACACAACAAAGCCACACCTCCTAATGAGATTATTCGGGCCAATTACATTCAAACTACTATAGCCTTTATTTAAGATACCCATCTTTATATATAAAATACTTGGTTATCAGTTTTATAATACAGCATTTGTTCTTATAGGCAAATTATATCTGTATTGTTCCTGGACAAGATTGACTATATATTTAAAGAGAAACATTTCTGCTCAAGTCAAACTGTAAAATTTCAGAAGACAAATAATTTTCTGTAAATTGAGACATTGACAATGTATTTCAGAACTGGGCGGTGGTGGCACACACCTTTAATCCCAGCACTTGGGAGGCAGAGGCAGGCAGATCTACAAGAGCTAGTTCCAGGACAGGCACCAAAGCTACAGAGAAACCCTGTTTCGAAAAAACAAAGCAAAAAAAAAAAAAATTGTAGAAAATGTTTTTCAAAATGCCTTGCAACCTGCCTTCTGTAGAGATGGTTATTGGGAGAAGTAGGATTCCATTGTAAAAATGGAATTTTGACCTCCAATTTCCTTGTTGCCCATGGTACATGTATACTACAATGCAAACGTGCTGCCAAGTGCTTTTCACTGTACACAGAGTGATGTGAGAAGGATAAGTTGTAATAACTGCCGAGAACAGAGTACTGCCCACCAACCTGTATCTCATTTGTTGCCTTGAGTTTTTAAAATGGAAGATTGTCCTTGAAATGAGTATTAGTTAGCTCAGTGAGGCAGGCAGGGAGTGGCCACTGTTTCCCCTGCTTCGTTATTCCTGCGTTAAAATGTAACCCTGTTTGTCTAGTACCTCTCCTTCAACTCTGTAGTTTGAACTATTCAATTTTATTGCTCCACTTTAGGCATGCGATTTTCCCTAGGATTTATTCCTAAAGCAAACTTCATCATGACTGGGCTGTGAATTGGGAATTCATTTTGAAATGCAAAATATGAGTCCTGTCACTGGGAACAGCCCAGCAGAGGTCATGAATAGGGTCTGGGGAGAACTTACCCAGAGGAATAGTACTGAGGTAGTGGCTTGTTGTATCAGCTTATGAGACGAGCTGTTCTGCTTGTCATGACCCCCAACAGGAGGAGGTTGAGTGCCATGCTGACTCCTCAAAGAGATTAAGGCCTTCTGGGCTTTGGACTTTAGATAAGCAAGCTTGCAGTCTACTATCTTCACTTCAGTTGACTGCCAACATAGAAACAAGTTGGGGCTATCCATAGTTTTTGTGTTCATTGAGGGCATGTTGTAGATTATGTTATAAAAGTGTGTGTGACAACGCCTACAGGTACACTTTCGACTTCACGTTTTCTGGAGAAAAGAAGTTATTCAAAGAAAATGTACAAGAACTATTTGTCTTATATTACAATTGGGACCCAGATTATTCTGTATTTAATTTGCTATCTTTAGGTTGCTTTTAAATTTTAATTTCAGATTGGTATGCTAAGTGGGAAATCGTGCATGTGGAAGATTGTATAGTACTTGAAGTGGAATATTGTATGTAACATGTGAAGAAGGAGTAACGCAGACCTCTTTTTCTTACTAGGTTAGTGATGCAACTAAGTTAAGGCCAAAGGCAGAGTTCTGTTTTGGTAAGTAGCCATGTTTACATTATTTTATTTTCTAAATGATAATCATTCCACCAATCTCCTTTTAGTTCTTCTTAAAAAACGTTTATTTATTTATTTGTGTGTGTGTCACAGCATTCATGTGGAGATGAGAGAACAACTTCCCGGAGTCAGTTCTCTCTTCACCATGTGGGCTCAAGGGGTTGAAGTCAGGCCATCAGGCTTGGTGGTCAGTGCCTTTCCCCGCTGAGCCGTCCTGCCAGCTCTGCTCGTTATTTTACGGTAGGCTGAGAAATAGTAATACAGCCACAAGAAACAGTCCTATGGCTTAATGAATCTGTGAGAAATTCCTTTACACCTATCATCCAGGTGAGGGAATAAAACTTCGACCCTGCTACCAACCTCACTGTCTTTCCTCTTCTCATCCTAGTCATAAGCTCCCCACATTCCTGTGTAACTGTTGTGATCTCACCCAGCAGTATTTCAGGGAGTTTTTAGCTGTACTTTTTTGTCTCTGTTGACCACATAAATAATGCAAAGGGTGCTTTTTTTTTTTTTGCAAGGGAATGAGATATTTACATCTTGGAGGCAAGAGGAGTTGAGGATGTTACCTAGGCTGTGGATAGGTGTGCAGTGAATGCCTAGGACACACTGGGCTGTGGGAGAATAAGGAGGATTGGTGCCTCAAGGATCTCAGGCTAACTGACAGATATAATACTGTCGTCATCATTCCTGCCGTCAGTAGACGGGGATATGAGTCAGAGGTGCCACTGTGGGTGAGGACACCCCATGCTGGGGGCCAAGTCCGACCACTTTTTACCACCAGTCACAAGAAATAAGACCTCTTGGGCAGAGGTGTGCAGGGGAGGAGAATGTGATGTAGGAACTGGAGACGATGCTGGAGGCAGAAGTCAGGGTGCGGTATGTTGACAACCAGTGCATTTCCTTATTTTGAAAAAGGGAAGAAAGTAGAGTACCTGAAGGTGAATGAGGCTGCTGGCTCCACACAAGGGTAGTCATGTGACTACTGTACTTGAGATCTTACACGTGATGGAACTGATGGAGGTGAGAGAAGCTAGAAGTACAGAGACTTGGAGATTTGGCCTCCACCCAGGCAGTTCCATATTCTGACTGGTTTGCAGTTGTCTCTTTTGTATACTGATTTCATTTCCTTTAGGCATATACCAAGAAGTGGCTTTTTTTTTCTAATATGTGAAAATTCGAGGTAAAAATACCCTAAAAGTAGAAAGGGTCAGGGAAAGAGAAGAGAACCTTCTCTTCTGTGGAACAGTGTGGAGCAGGAAGCTAGGGTGTGGTGCCTAATCTTGATTGTCAACTTATGGAATTTAGAACCATCATGAAACAACCCTTTGGAGAAACAAGTCTGTGAGGGAGTTAATGTGACCTAGAGATTAGATTAACAGAGGTGGGAAGAACTTCCTAAATGTGAGTAGTACTGTTATGTGGATTTGGGGAGGAAGTGAACAGAGCACAGAGGTTCATCATTTTCTGCTTCCTGACTGTGGATGCAGTGTGACCTGCCACCTCCTGTTCCTGCTTCCACATCTTCCCTGCTGTGAGGGCTGTATCATCTGGAACTGTAAGCAAGAATGGACCCTTCCTTCCTTAAATTGCTTCTAACAGATGTTTTGTTGTAGCAGTGAGGCAAGGAACTAAAACAGGAGCAAGAGAGGATCCAGGGAGGGGGACAGAGAGACTCAGTGAAACCTCTTGGCTTTTACAATTAGTGTGCATTAGTATATGGAGAAGTTTAGAGTGAGTTAAGAGGATGGGCGGTAGCTCAAACTGAGGAAATTGGTGCCTCTCAGTCTGTTAATGTGGGAAGGAAATTAAGATTGACTAACTCCTATAAAAGGGGGACTGTTTTACATTGAAGTTAAAAAAGGGTACTTTTGGAACAATATTAATGTTAAAGTTCTTTGCATTCTTCCCAGTGTAGAGGGTGTCTTTCTCCTGCAAGTTAGTATTCAGAGCAGAATCTGATAGCAGCCACATATGTCCAGTAAGTTAAAAGCCATTGTGAACAGATTGAAGTTAGCTGCTCAGAGAAGCCTGCTGTGTTTGTCATTATTAAGAAACTTTTGTAAAAGTTATGCATTGCTGCACATTAGAATTATGGCTACTAAATAAGAGGATGTTTCAGAGCCTTGGAATTGAAGGGTATTAGGGCTCATCACCTAACAGAATTCTGTTAGAATATATGATCACATGCTTATTTTTAGTGCTGGATTTTGAACCTAAGACTTGGGCATACTAGGCAAATGCTCTACCACTGAGCTAAATACACCTCCAGCCCAAACACACATCCTTTTAACACTTAAAAATATCTCCCCTTTGTTAGTTTGAGGGCATTGTTTAAAGTGTTCAGGTGGAATTCCGCCTTGCCCTCTCCTCCCCACTTCAAACCCTTTCCAGTCTCAGAAAGCACAAGAAATGGTGACTCTTCCTGAAGAGATACTCACGACCATACCTACAGGGTATTTAAAGGCCTCCTAAGAAAAGGCCAGGTGGTTTTCCTGTTCCCTCTCCCCTTCTCCTCTCTTGGAAGACCGTCCTGCTGTGTTTTATTCATTACATCTGAACGTTTAATTCTTAATTCAGCTTGATTGTGTTTGCTGCATCAGCAGAGATACTTAATATTGGGGTATAGAAACCTTTTATATAGTAATAAATTCAACATTCATAGTTATTAGGCCTAATTAGAGTAGGTGATTTTAGTTGGGATCAAAGAATAAGATGAGCCTCTTTTCGTCTTTTTTGTAGTCTACTGCATCTGACAGGAATAGATTATTTATAAAACAGTTGCCTTCAGAGAGAGATACTAGAACCCCAACTTCATTCTAAAGTGGCAGGCTATCTCTAATTACCCTGAAACAGGGGAAACAAGAAACAACAAACCTTATCTTTGATAAAGGTAGGAGACATGAGCAGGTGACCCTCAGTGTATAAATATGAAAGCAGATAGAAGAATAGCAACTCACTTTGCAGAGCAGAGAAAGAGGCCGATGAAGAGCCCTGCCCTGTCTCTAATAGGCGTAGGTAATGGGGCCTGTTTGGGGGATGGGGGAAGCTACAGTGAAGGGGGACTGAGAACAGGTTCTTTGTTTGGATGTCTTTAAAACAAAAACAAAAACAAAAAACCCCCCACAAAACTCTAGCCTCTGTCTCCATCTGGCTCAAGTCAGCAGCAGTCCTTCCCCCCAGATCAGCAGGGAATGGGATGTTTGGTGTGTCCAGAAATAGAAACTAACACTAATCCCAGAGAAGGGAAGGAATGAGGCACAAACTGAAAAGGAGGATTTAAAGGAGAATCTGAATACTGAAGGATTCCTGTCCTGTGCAGCCCCAGGGAACCTGCAGCCAGCTGCAGCCAGCAATAGGTGGGTAGAGCCTGAATACCCTCAAGAACTGAAGAGTGGTACTGACATCTGGATGTTGTCGCTAGGCAATATGTAGCACCCTCACAACCCAGGAGGGTACAACCGGCCTTTTAGTCCCTCTTTTAAAATAGTAACAGACAGCCCAAATTACTTAGTATTTGAGAAGACTTATCAGATAGAAAAAGAAACAAGTAATACAAAACACAGAAGAAAGCTTTTTTCTCTTTTCTCCCCAAGACAGGGTTTCTCTGTGTATACCTGGATGTTCTGGAACTCTCTGTAGACTAGACTGGCCTCAAGCTCAAGAGACCTCTCTGCCTCTCTAGAGCTGGGATTAAAGGCATGCACCACCACCACCAGGCTAACTTTTTTTTTTTAAAGGCAAATCAGCAAAAGTTAAAAAGAGGTAATAGAGAAATTGATGTGGCAATCTCACTTATAAACTTGTAATCTCAGCATTTCTAGGGGATGGCAGGTCACAGGCCACCAGCCACTTTTTTATAAAGGGAGGGGCAAAAACCAGAGAAATGAGAAAAGGACCCCGTCACCACTAAATCTGTGGCCACACTAACACACTTGAGTCATGGCTGTTTAGTCCTGGATCATGGGAGGGTTTTTGCTCCAGTTACACTAATGCCTGTGCTGTAGTTTTTATGCATTTATTTCCTCTCTTGTAAAGATTTGAATACAAATGTACTCAGGTGAAAAGGTAGGAAGCAAACAAGCCTCTGAGGACTGCTTTTTTAAAAGGCTTGGCAACCCAGAGGTATCCTGGCTTTGTGTTTGTGGGATTCACAGCTTTTTCTTCCTTTCCATGTCCACTCCCCCCCTGCATCGCATACACACCACTTTCCAGTAATTCCCTGGAGATGATGATAGGAGGATCCCTGTGTCCATGTCTTCACATGCATTGTCACTTTTCTCTGGGAAAGGATGCATGACATTGCTGATGCGGAGGTGAGGAGAGCAGAACTCAGATTAGACAGTGCTCAGAGCCCTGCATATGTTTATCCGCCTTGCTAATTCCTGACTTCGTAGTTTGTGGTAGATGGCTTTGCTCCCCTTGCTATGAAATGAAAGCATGTGAGTTTTTTATTCCAACGGCAGGGTATACCAAGAGTTGTGTTATTTTGTTTGTTTTAGTTTTTATGTTTTGGGATTTAGGGGCTAGAGATAAAACCCAGAGCCTGCGTGTGGTAGACAAACACTGAGCTACATCTCAAACTGCAAGGAGTCTTTTTAGTTTAGTTATGTTGGCCTCCTTTTGTTCCTTCAAAAAAGCCTTCTATAAATATTACACTTTTAGAAGTATATTTATTATATACATTTGCCTGTGCTAGCTAGTGTAGTTCACTGTTAGAATCTATTTATTTTTAAACTTACTATTTTATTTTGTGTGTATGGGTGTTTTGCTTTCATGTATGTTTGAGCACCAGGTGTGTGTCTGGTTAGTGCCTGTCAGATTTCCCTGGGACTGGAGTTACAGACAGTTGTACATGGCCACATGGGTTCTGGAGTCGTACTTGTATCCCCTGGAAGACCTAAGCCATTTCTCTTAGATCATAAACTTCTTCAGTATTCTGAGCTGATGCCCTAAACATTATTTTGGAGAGGAAGTACCGTTGAGCTGACAGTGGGCAAGGTCTGGATGAATACTGTGCTGACTACTGTATGCTGGCCACAGATTGTCCTAGGGAGTTCCTAGTTATGCTGAAATACACACCCTCTAGTGCTTCTCAACCTTCCTAGTGCTGTTTGACCCTTTAGAACACTTCCTCATGTTGTGGTGACCCCCAACCATCGAATTATTTTCGTTACTACTTCGTAACTGTAATTTTGCTACAGTTATGAATCACAATGCAAATATCTGTGTTTTCGATGGTCTTAGCGACCCCTGTGAAAGGATTGCTCAACCCCCAAGGGGCTCAAGACCCACAGATTGAGAACCACTGCTCTAGAAACAAACGAAAGTATAAAATGTGGTGCATTACAGTTTTTTACTTTTCAGGTGAATTTTTCTGTAGCACATCATAAGATAGCTTTGACTTCTGTAATTTTCAACTTAGTCTAGGGAGCTTTGTTTTAGAGTAGTTTGTTCTCAGGCCCAATTTCAAAATCATGTGTGTTTGAGAAATAACTTTTCCCTTGAGGGTTTTCATTTCCTTTTTCTCTTAGTCATATTCAACTCAGTGCTAGTACATTAATAATTCAATGTTGTGGTGGAGATTTTTGGAAGTTTTTTTGTTTGTTTATTTATTTATTTATTTATTGGTTGGTTGGTTTTGAGGCAAGATCTCACTCTGCAGCCTTGGCTTTCCTAGAATTCACTATATAGATTGGGCTGACTGGAACTCACAGAGATAGGCCTACCTCTGTCTCTCAGAGTGTTAGTATTAAAGGTGTGTGCTGCCACGCCTGGCCACACCTGGCCTTGGAAGTTGATTTTATATTTGAACAATTTCAATGGCGTGGCTGTTAAGGTGCATTGGATGCATTAGCTTCTACAGTAGTCTTTGATTTTCTAAACAAATACATATGATATAAATAGGTGTAATTAAAGAGCCCCTTATGACTTGTAGACAGCTGCCTGCAGATGTGCTTTATGAAGTTCAGGGTTCCAGTCCCTAAGTAGGCATTTGTAAATTGCATTGAACATATGCCTTTAATCCCCCTTTAATCCCAGCACTTGGGAGGCAGAGGCAGGTGGATCTCCGTGATTTCAAAGCCAGCCTGGTCTACAAGAGCTAGATCCAGGACAACAAGAACTGTTACACAGAGAAACCTTGTCTCGAAAAACCAAAGAAAAAAAGAGAAAAAAATAAAATAAAATAAAAAGGTTTGGTGTTTTATTTTGTTTGGTGAAAGCTCCAAGTGTAAAAATATCTTTATTTAAAATTAAATGCAAATATTATTTTGGGCTAAAAATATTATCAGAGGCTAAAAAATAAATATGTGTATAAGCTTAAATTATGGAGGATTTCAAATACATAAAGTCTACAGGATTAAAGGGAAAATTGATAGAATATTTGTTTTGTCAAGGATACCATGAGAATTAACAGGGAAAGTGAGAATTAACAGGGAAAGTACTTATGATAAAGTAACTGGTTAATAGGAAAGCTCCTGTAGATCAGTAAATTACAGCTGAGCAGCTCAAGAGGAATGAGTAAAGAATATATAAAGCTCATGAAGGAAATGCAGGTGCCTAATACCCATATAAAACTTATTTTCTCAATAATTAAATTCAAATTCAAACAAGGTTTAGTTATCTACTTATTAGCAACTAATTAGGTTGTTAATAGAGTGCTGTATCAGCTAGGCTTCATTGAATGAAATAACATTTGAGGCATTTCTTGGTCCCAAGGTAATCGTTACAGGGGGATTATTCTTACACATGTCAGAAGACAGAAAGAGCGCAGTGGAGATGTTGCAGTAACTGAGACGTTAGGGACAGCATGAAGCTGCTCCACTTGGGCTAGGAGAGCGAAAGGAATCATCTGTAATGGAGGAGCAGCTACCAGGAAGCTATGCAGTAACGAACGGTTCAGACTCTGAGACTCCAAGCTTGAAGACTTTAAAGCCATGGGTGTATATGTAGCACAGATGCTAGTAACAGTACAGGTGAGAGGTGTGCACACAATTGGGAAGATGCTTCTGGATAGGGATTCAGTCTTAGGGAAGGCAATTTTCTAATGCAAAAGTTGGCTTTCTTTTTCTTTTTTCTTTTTGTTGTTTTTTGTTTGAGATAATGTCTCACTATATGGCTCTAGCTGACCTGGAACTCCTTTGTAGTCCAGGCTGATAGGGAACACAAAGAGATCCGCCTGCCTCTGTCTCCTGAGTCCTAGGATTAAAGGCATATTCTACCATGCCTGACCCAAAACAAAATTTTTAAAAATTACTTTTAAAATGATTTTATTAGTGTGGGTATTTTGCTGTCAGGTCTGTACAACACTTGTATGCAGTATGCAGTGCTCAAAGGTCAGAAGAGGGTATTGGATACCCTGGAAGAGGAAGGAGTTACAGACAATTGTGAGCTATTATGTGGGTGCTAGGAATTGAACCCAGGTCCTCTGGAAGTGTAGCCAGTGCTCTTAATTTCTGAGCCATCTCTCCAGTCCCCCCAAAGCAAAATTTTTAAATGTTAATACTCTGTGACTCATTAAGTCTGTATCAAGAAAATTATTCCACAGAAATGCTGGTCAAAGTGTGAAGGTGCATGTCCATGTGATATTTCATTGTGATGTTCTTTTGTTTGTTTAGTTTTTTTCGAGATAGGGTTTCTCTGTGTAATAGCCCTGGCTCCTGGAACTCTCTGTGTAGGTCAGGCTGGCCTTGAACTCACAGAGATCTGCTTGCCTCATGAGCGTTGGGATTGAAGTATACATCACTGGAGAACTGACTCACTATTTAGCAGTATATGCATTTAATGAAAACTGGTCATGAAAGAGTTTTGCCTGTATAGCTCAGTGAAAGCAGTGTTTTATATGGCCTAATGTATTTTGTGAAATCCAGGAGTTGCAGTGTTGAATCTGGGAAGACATTTGCAGCTGTCCTAAACATAATTTAGAGATAACAACTATATTTCATGTATTTTTCTTTTGACAGTTATGAATGCAGGGATGAGAAAATACTTCCTACAAGCCAATGATCAGCAAGACTTAGTGGAGTGGGTAAATGTCTTGAACAAAGCTATAAAAATTACAGTAAGTATGTATTTAAAATTTTCCCTTTACAGAAGTAATCTTTACATTTTAAAAATGTGTCTAATATCCTCAGATTACCAGCAGGTTACACATTCAAGTTTGGTTTAAAAGATATGTTCTGAATGTGAGCCATTTGCTTGTGCGTGGGGCGGTCAGCCTGTGAATACCTTACAGTGTGTCTCCAGTAAGGATTCATCACTGTGTATGTTGATTGTGTTTTTGTTGTATATCTAGAGTAGGATGAGAGGCTTTGAACCTCTTACTCTGGGGATGGGCATAGTATTACCCTTTTCTAAGCCATGGCAGGCAAAGGAGATGGGTGTGAATAAGGGAGAAGGCTCAGGTCTAGAGATTGAGTCTGAAGAGTTGTGGTGCCCAGAGGGTCCTGCCTGGGTGTTCTAGGGATGTCACCTGCCCTTTTCCCTGGAGTTTCAGGGCCTGCTGCTTTTCCCTCCTGTTGATGCTACAACCCTCTGCTGTTAAACCTTTCTTCTGTTTGGTTTTAAGATGAACATCAGTACTTACTGATTATTTACACCATACCAGCAGGAAGGCTTTAGACAGAAGGTTTTCCTTCAGTTTTCCAGAAAGGTTGAGTGACTTGTATAGACTTCAGCACTGGTAAGCTATGAGGCTGAAACCCAGGCAAGCCTGTTGGTTGGTCCTGGACCCTGAATTCTGCAGTGCAATGAATAAAGAACCCCTTCCTAAAGTCAGACAAGCCTTTCTGAGCAAGTTGCCCCTGCTGCTGCTGCTGCTGCTGCGCCCATGGACTGCCTTGCTGTGCCTTTTCTCCTTAAAAGTAGGCTGCCTAGAAGGTTTAGGAAGGAGCTCCTCCTGTGTGGGGTTGTATCACTTAAACTTTTTTTCAGTGGTGTATAGTTATTTATTGATCCTAATCTACTCTTGGTCAAAGAGCATGTTCCAGGAAATTGATGCATATAGTCTTCACCTCAAGGAAATGATTCTCTCTCTGTCTGTGCCACACAGCAGCAGAGTTAAGATAGCCGACCAAGGCTGTTCTTAGATCAATTTTTTTTTTGTCTTGCATCAGAACAGCTTGTTACCACATGACAGAAAACGCCCACACACCACATCTGAGCTGTATGCGAAGCAGAAGTTATTTTGGGGCTTGTGCAGTTTCATGATAGCAATATTTTGAGCAGATTCAGAAGTTTACATTCTTAAAAGTTTTAGCTGATCATTTTGAGCTCTTAATAAATATTCCCTACCTCGAAGATGTCTTTATAAAGTCTGTATGTAGTACTTTCCTGGATTTGTTTTTTATAGTCTACAGCAATAAGCAGAACTGGTTTCTTTTAATGATTTAAAGAAAAGTCTCAGCATTTTACTAAGTTGGAATGCCTTGAATTGTTCTCTCATTTATTCATGAGACTAAATAGTTTTTTATGTCATTGTAAGCTGTTCCGCAGGAAAGAGAAACTGGTAATATTTAATTAGCTTTTGGGATCTTGCAGCTTTATTTTATATGGCATTTTTACTGTTTTTAGATAAATCTTGATAATGATTTTTGTGATTTTTATCGTTCATATTTAGAAAATATAAATACAAATAAGATACAGTAATTTTAAGTGCAGTGATGTTAATATAAAACTGGTAACTGACTGGAGTCAGTTTTAGGTAAACATAGGAAAAGGAGAGAATTCCCAGGCTTTAATAAGATGTATTTTGCTGGGACTGGTTAAGAGCACTGACTGCTCTTGCAAAGGATTTGGTTCCCTATACTCACGTAACTGTTCATAATTGTTTATAACCCTAGTGCTGGGACACATAGTACCTTCTTCTGACCTTCACAGGCACCAGGCATGTAGGTGGTACACGACATGTAGGCAAAACACCCATACAGATAAAATAAAAAAAAAAAAATAGCTGAGTGCTGGTGGCGCACACCTTTAATCCCAGCACTCAGGAGGTAGAGGCAGGCCGATGATCTCTGTGAGTTTGAGGCCAGCCTGGTCTACAAAGCGAGTTCCAGGGCATCCAGGGCTACACAGAGAAACCCTATCTTGAAAAAACCAAATGTGTGTGTGTGTGTGTGTGTGTGTGTGTGTGTGTGTGTGTGTGTGTGTGTGTGTGTTTAAAAATAGACATCTTGGGGGACTGGAGAGATGGCTCAGTGGTTAAGAGCACTGATTGCTCTTCCAGAGGTCCTGTGTTCAGTTTGCATCAACCACATGGTGGCTCACAACCATCTATAATGAGATCTGTCGCCCTCTTCTGGTCTGTAGGCTTACATGTAGACAGAACACTGTATCCATAATAAATAAATAAATCTTAAAAAAAAGAGGAAAAAATAGACATCTTGTTAAATGTTTTAACAGAAATTTAGATCAGTTTAGACTTCATAGGCATTTTGCATATTTAATTATTTTGGAGTGTGATATGTCTAATTTCATATCTAAATGTCTATTGATTTATATGTAGAATCTTTGAAAGATTAATATTTCCACTTTAGTATATGTGTAGTTTTACCTTTCTCTACAATCATTCCAAATAATATTTTAATCACCTATAATTTAGTGGTCTGCTGAATACTATGTCATCTGTACACTTAACACATACAGAAATTTAAAATTGGAGTTTTCCAGAATGTGGTTTCACCTTGGAGATTGTTAGAGCATTGTGGCTAGGAGCATGGTGATTAGTTAAGTGTTCCAGTTGTAGTAGCACACCTTCTCAGTGCACTGCTCTTCACCACTGGAGTCTGTCTTCACCTTCCGTCTGCGCAACATTGTCAGTTATCTCCTAAGCATTTAAAGAAGAAGGAAGAGTTTTAAAAGTCAGTAGTATTAGAAGAAATAATCTTGAAGGACATTTTTAGTTACTTGAGTTTGGAAAATCAAAATTGGAAGCATGCTTTCAAATGTGTATTTGTCTGCCATCAGTGTAGTGGCTCCTGGACCCTTCCTGGCTTAAAAAAAGAGAAAATGTCCAGAGTTTTTTCCTAAGCAGAAGTCCACTATTTCTAAAATGTCTTTTAAGTTCTAGTAAGTTCTAATTTAAAAGTCTACATTAACTTTTAATCTAAAAACTAGTCTTTTGAAATTGTAGCAGAGATTTCACAGTGACAGCTAGCTAGGACAAGTAAGCTAAGTACTGGTCTAGCCGAGCCTTTGCCATCAGCCAGGTCAGATGGAGAGAATACAGGTCTTGCCGCCAAGGAATGTATCAAACACTTTAGGTTCTGTCCTCTAACTCTGCACTTATTCCTGGCTGGCTGAATTTCACTGCCCTGTAACTTTTGAGAGGGCTGTAGCCTTTTATTTATTTTGTCATAAATATCTTCTTTGCTCACAGCTTCCTTCTCTAGTGAGTATTTTCTTTTCTAATATTGAGACATTCTGTGGGGATCATAGTAAATGCCTACTAAGCACACGTTCAGATCCTTCCCAAGAAATAGTCACATAAGAATCAGGGAAGAAACAATAGTACATAAGAATATTTAATTTCTGACGTTTGTCCTCTGCCCTGTGAGTTGGCTATTTGATGCTCTTTAACAGCTGGCTGATTTGCAGGTGTACGTGTGTGTTGGGATGGGGGTTAGCGTTTGGATTTGACTCACTTTTCAGTAAGAGTTTTTTATAAATTCTACGGGAGTTACTTTATATCTGAATAGTTTACTTGCACTTTTCTTTGAAAACAAGGTAATGATAATTTAGATAACTTTTATTGTAATCTTCAGTTCGGGTGGGGGACTTGTGCTTGCATAGACTTTATTATGAGGGCTGCTAGCAGTGGGCCAGTTGCACAAAAAAGGTTTTTTGGTATGATATGTTTCTGGAAGGAAAGTGGGGAAAGCAGCATATATTAGCATATTTTAAAGTTTCTATGAAAGCCTTAGAGGATAACCACTGCTCCTCTGGCAGGTCACCACAGAGCAGCAGTCTCAGGTCATCTCTGTGGCTTCAGATTGACGGGTTGACAGGATTACACTTTGTAAAATGACCGAGATAAATTATGTGATTCTAGAGAATGTTATGGATTTCATTACAGATTGTTCTAGGGCGTGGTATCTTAATTTTAGCCTACAACTAACACTTTGTTCTCTTGTAAAAAGCACCTTTAAAAAGCACTCAAGAGTGTGGCCTCTTAGGATTCCACAGGCATTCAGGATTCTTCTTCCTTTCCCTTTCTTTTCTTTCATTTTCTGCTTTCCCTTCTTTCCCCTCCCTTTCCCCTTTCTCTTTCTCTCTTTCTCTCTCTCTGTTTTGGTTTTTTGAGGTAAGGTTTCTCTGTGTAGCTCTGGCTGTTCTGAAACTCATTGTAGAGCAGACTGGTTTTGATCTCAATGATTCACTTGCCTCTGCCTCCCTAGTACTGAGACTAGAGGCATGCACCGCCAATGCCAGGCTCCCTTTCTCTTTTCTTCCAGTTTCCACCAGTGATTGATACTGTATTGGGAGCTGTAGTGGATTTCATTTGTATTTCAATAAATAAAGCTTGCCTGAGGATCAGAAAAGTAAAACAGCCACACTGACTAGTCTTACAAACTAGGCAGTGATGATACACACCTTAAATCCCAGTAGCCACACTAGCTTGCCATGGAAACCAGATGGTAGTGGTGCACGCCCTTAATCCTAGAACTAGAGAGGATTACAAAACGGGAGGAGGCAGCTCTCAGACACAGTCTCATTCTGAGATTCCTGGAGGCAGGATGGCCATTTTCTGACCAAGGTCAAGGTAAGAGCCAGTGGCTGACCGCTTTGCTTTTCTGACCTTTAGGTTGAACCCCAATTTCTGTCTCTGAGTTTTTTTTTTTAAATTGTGCTCCAGGGAGTATGCATTTGAAGCTGGAGAGTGCTGCTAGGGCTTGAGAGAAAGCCTGACAAGGGAGGCAGTGCAAGAAATGACCTTACCTAAGATACAAGCCATTCGTATCCATGAACAGTTGTGTTCATGAGTATAGATGGGTTGAGGACTTTTCATGCACACAGCCCTACAGTGTACCCTAGCTCTCCTCCTGACCTGGTGAGTGCAGTGTGAGGAAGAGTGAGATCACAGTGTGGAGTAGGGTTTCTTAAGTGTGGTTTGTGAAACACCGTCCCTCAAAAGCACCTCTTCCTTCTGAAACTCCAGTTTGCGGGGGAATGTTCTAGAGACTCATTCTAGGATGGAGCCTGGGGATTACAACTTTTAGTGATATTCCTGTATGAGACATTCCCTGCCTTGAATGGAATCACATTGGTACATGTAGGGCCTTTGACTACAGTGTTAGTAGTTTCTCTGTAGTTCACAGGTGATGGGCAAATGACTTAATTTTAAATTAAACATTTTTATACCATTATCATGTGTTTGTCATTCATGTTGTTGATAATATCTTTGAAAGATTGTGAGGATTCCTAAACAAATTATACATTAAATCATACTCAGTATGTAATTGGTGCCAAGTATGATGTCATTTTATTGCACAAACTTGGCTAGAAAGTAGTTCAGCAGTGATCTCAACCTATGTTCCATGCTGCCTCTAAGCCCTGCTTCCCTCTCCAACTGTGATGAGAATTGGCCAGGGGAGAGTGGAGGAAGTGTGTGAACTAATGACTGCACCAGCACCAGCAGTAGGTGGTGGTGTCTGTGACGTAAAGTGTTACCAGGCCAGAGCAATCTGAGATCTTGAATTGCAATATTGCAAGTAGATTGTTTGTCAGTCATCTATAGATACTAACTAGTTGAAAATTCTGTAGTGATGAAGAGGGTTGCAAATGCAGTTCTTGTTGTATGATAATCCACCTTACTCTTCCAGGTACCAAAGCAGTCAGACTCACAGCCGGCTTCTGACAGCCTGAGTCGCCAAGGTGACTGTGGCAAGAAGCAAGTGTCTTACAGAACTGATATTGTTGGTGGTGTTCCCATCATCACTCCAACTCAGGTACCAAATCAATGCGTCTGCTGTATTTTCATCAAAGCTGAAACAGAATATCTTTGAATTGATTCAATATTTATTAACTACAAAAGCTTTTAATTTGGTTTCCTATTCAGAAAGTGCTTTGCAAACTTTTGTATGTTACTATAAAAAAGATCAGAAGTTACACAGATAAACACTTGGTCCTTCTCTGAGCTGAATTGTTTGTATTCTCCCTGCAGAAGTTGGGATGGGGGTTACATGTCAGACTTTGTAGCAGCATATCTTAAATCAGGCATCAGAAGTTAGTCTCTATCACTTGTAATGGCTGTAGAGTCCTGCCCTGGATTTGACCATAATTTATAAGCCTCTATTGGTAGACAAATGGAAGGGTTTTCTTTCCTTTATTTTATTTAAAAATGTTGTAATGAACATTTTTATATCTAAAATTTTAGAGATTTAATGCTAGAGCCTTATTGCTGAGCTATATCATAGTTCTTTTTAGAGTTGCCCAAGTTGTCCTTTTTTTTTTTTTGAGACAGGGTTTCTCTGTAGCTTTGGTGCCTGGCCTCAAACTCACAGAGATCCACCTGCCTCTGCCTTCCGAGTGCTGGGATTAAAGGCGCATGCCACCACGCTGGCCCTGACCAAGTTGTCCTTGAATCTACTTTTTAGTTCAGACCAGCCTTGTAACTACAAGTCTACACCAAGATAAACTAATGCTTTCAAGTAAAGTTGCTAGGTTAGCATTTGCAAATATGTGTAAATTTTTAAAAAAAACCTGTGTGTGTTTTGTATTTTTCCTACAACCTGAGGGTTGCAACTCTGGCTGGATTGTATCCTAAAAGTAATGATGTACCTAGGTATTAGGGAAAATAAATTTATGTAATTTAAAAAATGAACTTGAAACTTTTATATGAACTTAAGTTTCTTGTATTGCTATTGAGGAAATAGACTTCTTTTTATTTTTATTGCGCTGTATGTTTTTCTCCGCTCCCATCCCTTTCTCTCCCCTGCCCTTTTACTCCCCTGGTCCCCATGCTCCCAGTTTACTCAGGAACTCTTGTCTTTTTCTACTTCCCATGTAGTTTAGATCCATGTATGTCTCTCTTAGGGTCCTCATTGTTGTCTAGGTTCTCTGGGATTGTGAATTGTAGGCTGGTTTTTCTTTGCTTTATGTTTAAAAGCCACCTATGAGTGAGTACATATGATATTTGTCTTTCTGGGTCTGGGTTGCCTCACTCAGTGTGCTGTTTTCTAGATCCATCTATTTTTCAGAAAATTTTAAGATGTAATTATTTTTTTCTGCTGTGTGGTAGGTACTCCATTGTGTAACTGTACCATATTTTCCTTATCCATTCTTTAGTCGAGGGGCCTTTAGGTTGTTTCCAGGTTCTGGCTATGACAAACAATGCTGCTATAAACATAGTTGAGTACATGTCCTTGTGGTATGATTGAGCATCCTTTGGATATATACCCAAAAGTGGTATTGCTGGGTCTTGAGGAAGGTTGTTTCCTAATTTTCTGAGAAATTGCCATACTGGTATCCAAACTAGTTTGCACTCCCACTAGCAATGGAAGAGTGTGAGAAAAATGTACTTTTAATGCAAATTAAATTACTAAAATTTGAAAAACAAGCATTTAAAGTGATAGCTATTGCTAGCATTGGATATTCTCATTACTTTTGTCTTTGGATTTTAAAAAACTTTGATGCTTTATAGACTACTCCCTAATTCCTAAGACAGGGTTTCTCTGTGTAGTCCTGACTGTCTTGGAACTCACTCTGTGGACCAGGCTAGCCTTAAACTCACAGAGATCCACTTGTCTCTATCACTCAAGTGCTGGGATTAAAGGAGTACACCTCCACCACGTAGCATAGACTTTTAAAATTTTAACAGATACCATATTTTTTCAAGCCTTGTGCCAGGTGAGTGTGATTAGTAGGAAGAAATCTTATAACATCAATTAACTTGAGTATCTTTTTCTGTGCTTTGTAAAGGATATTTAGCAACACCAATCTCTGCTCTCGGGGGAGTTTACAGTTACTTTTGTTGTTGTTCAAAGTTGAATTAAAAAAAAATTAGGGAGAAGGATGTGTGTGGTGTTGCTTTTTCTAAAATAATGATTTTAGCTCGCTAAACTTGTGATTGATGAATAGCTGGGCTGAACTTTCTCCCATGCTATGACTGGTGTTGGCTATTGGATAAGTTTGTTAAGATACTGTTGCAGTTTGTGTGGCTATTGTAGAATAGATTCTATAGAAGATGGCATTTTTAAAAGATTTAAAATAATGCAACTGTTTTATTGTAATGCAGAATTTAAAATTACAAAGTAGCGAATAATTCCAGTGCTAGTTCCTTTAATGCTCAGGAGGCAGAGGCAGGTGGATCTCTTTGAATTCCAGGCTAGCCAGGTCTACAGAGTGAGTTCTAGGATAGCCAGGGCTACACAAAGAAACCCTGTCTTGAAAAACAAAAACAAACAAACAAAAATACAAAGTAACATTTAGACAATATGGAATTGTAGGAGGTGGGCCCACTTGTTAGTTCCGGCTAGCTTGGCCCTGAAATAATCATATAGAAACTGTATTATTTAAAACTCTGCTTGGCCCATTAGCTCTAACTTTTTATTGACTAGCTCTTACATTTTAATTTAACCCATCTCCATTAATCTGAGTATCACCATGAGGTCGTGGCCTACCAGCAAAGTTTCAGCATGTCTATCTCCAGTGGCTCCGTGGCATCTTCCTGACTCTGCCTTCTTTCTCCTAGCATTCAGTCCAATTTTCCCTAACTACGTAAGTTCTGACCTATCAACAGGCCAAGGCAGTTTCTTTATTCATTAACCAATAAGAGCAATACATAGACAGAAGGACTTCTCACACCATAGAATCAAGAAAATGTTAATTAAATCTCATTTGGATGATTAATTTATTCAGAATCTATTGGCTAATTATTAAGTATTTAATTAGTATTGTTGACCTGTTTAAATGTAGAACAGGTTGAAAATACCTCATAAGCCCGACAGTTCAGATTTAATTGTTCTTTTGAGTTTTAAATATGTGAGTGATTTATTTGTGGTGTTGTAGTTTGTGGATGTTGTAAATAACCAGGAAGTCTTGGGTATGGTTAAGGATTTGTTAACACTGAACTTTAAAACATAAGACAGGGGCTGGAGAGATGGCTCAGTGGGTAAGAGTACTGGCTGCTCATCCAGAGGTCCTGAGTTCAATTCCCAGCAACCACATGGTGGCTCAGAACCATCTGTAATGAGATCTGGCGCCATCTTCTGGCGTGCGGGCATACACGGAGGCAGAATGTTGTATACATAATAAATAAATCTTTAAAAAAGTAATTAAATTTAAAAACCATAAAACAATAGCACACACATACACACACACATACACACAAAACCCCACAAAACAAAACAAAAAATCCTATAGCACTTCCAGGAGTGAGCATGGGAAAAACTGCAGGTCAAGGATTAGGCAAAGAGCTTTTAGAGTTGATATGAAGCCCATTATCTGTAAAAGGAAAAGACGGATAATTGCACATCATCAGTATATCAAATCTATGTTTTGTGAAAGACCCTGTTCAGAGGATGAATAGAAAAGATAGACTAGTCAACGGTGGTGGTACACACTTTTAATCCCAGCACTTGGGAGGCGAAATCAGGTCTTTGAGTTTGAGACCAGCCTGGTCTATAGAGTAAGTTAGCCAGGGCTACATAGAAACTATTTCTCCAAATTAAAGAAAAAAAAAAGATTAGAAGAAAAGTCTGCAAGATACCTACTTATTCAACTAAGGACTTTTATCTACAGAAAGAGTGCTCAAAACACAATAATTAACCAACCAAAAATTCCTTAAAAGTAGACGAAATTCAGAAACAGACATTTCACCAAAAAATGATATATGTATTAATAGGCACTAGGAAAGATAGATTGCCACTATATGTAGCCGTTAGAAAAAAATTGAATTAAAAACCTAGTGAAATATTATACCTAAGCAAAGATTCTTGGGCTTCTCATCCATTGCTGGTGGAGATGTAAATAAAACAGTTCAGTCACTCTGAAAAAAACAATTTGGTGTGGTAGTTTTCTTGTTGTCATATTTTTAGAAATAAACTTGCAATTGCTCTCTAGCCTAGTATGTATTCTCCGGCGTTTACCCTAAAGAAGTGGGTAATTATGGTCACACAAAAACCTGTACACGGACACTTATAATATCTTCATTCCTAGTAGCTAGAAGATGGAAATAATCGGGTAGGTGGCCAGCAGCTTGGTGTGGTGATATACCCACAGCACTGGATACAGCAGTCAGACAAGAGCCATCTGAATGAGCCTTCAGAGAGTTATGTTGAGTGAATATTTTTTTTAAAAAATCCCTAAAGGTCTTTACTGTGTGCTTCTGTTTGTATTTTCAAGATGTCAGAACAAATGATTGGCTGTCAAGGAGTGCTACAAGGGCATCACAAGCAGACCCTGTGGCAGAGAGCAGTTCTTTGTGTTGATTATGGCAATAGTTGTGCAACTTCTGGTCAGACCTTCCTCTGGGTCGCTGGCTCACAAATAATGACAGAGAGACTTTATTAACTCTGAAAGCTCAGCTGTAGCTTAGGCTTGTTCCTAACTAGCTCTTATAACTTAAATTAACCCATTTATATTAATCTATGTTTTATCACATGGTGTTACCTCCCTTCCATCTTGCACCTCCTCTTTCCTCTCTGTGTCTCCTGGCATCTCCCCTGTGCCTCGATTATCTCCTCCTACTTCTCTCTGCCTGGAAGTTCTGCCTATACCTCCTTCCTGTTGGCCATTCAGCTTTTTATTAAACCAATCCCAGCAGTATATCTTCACACAGTGTGCAAATATCCCACAACAGCAACTGCAAATGGTAATACCATATATGGACAAACAAGTGCATATATAAATGTTGATACCTGAATAAAGCTTATAGATGCCTGGTTTGGGTGATCTACCTTAGAAATACATACTTCCTCTTTGGGAAGAATTCGGTTAAAGGGTATACAAGACATCTGCTACTTTTTTATTTATTGTAACTTCCCATAGATCTGTTTAAATGATTTCAATATAAAAAAGCCCACCCCAAGAAAAACCTGAAGTCAGGAGTTTGCAAAACAATAAAAGTGGATGTTTGTGGTTTGATCAAGAAAGTTGTGATTGAGTGTCACCGATTTTAAGATTTTCTAAGATAACATTAAATGAAAGTATGTTTTAAAGCAAGAAAATAATTTCTTTGGCTTCATTTTAGAAAGAAGAAGTAAATGAATGTGGTGAAATTGTCGACAGAAACAATTTGAAACGGTCCCAAAGCCATCTTCCTTACTTTGCTCCTAAGCCACCTCCAGACAGTGCAGTTATCAAAGCTGGATATTGTGTGAAGCAAGGAGCAGTGGTGAGTAGCTTAACCAGACCTGTGAAGTTGGGGGGGTCATGTGCCAGCAAGGTAGCAAGGCAGAATCAAGTTGTGTGCTTTATGTTTGAAAGGCCCAGAGTGCAGAGCAGTCTGTTGCTGGGAAGGGGAGAAAGGGATTGCTCCATGTTTTATCACACAGCATAGTTATTTCCTTGGTCTTTGCACTGCTGGGTAAGTTAATGCTTATTTCCCCTATATTTAGTGTAAGTGAGCTTTCCCAAGTTTAGGTTTGTGATAGAAAGGATTTCTTGTTTGTTTGTGTTTTATTTAAAAAGCTTTAGTTTGTGAATGTGCGTGCATATATGAGGGAGGGAGGGGAGCATGACTGCACTGTTTTATGCTTTGAGAGCAGAAGGCAACTTTGTCAGTTCTGGTCTTCTACCTTCACTTGGATTCCAAGGCTTAAATTTAGGCAAGTGACTTTACCTGCTGAGTCATCTTAACTCCCAGAAAGTTCTGTTGATTTCCTGCATCCTCAGAGATGGTCAAGTATATAGAGAAGCGGAAGTACCAGGAGTGGCTGCTAGCGGACAGCTCTGAGGTTGGGCTGCTTAATCTCCCAGACTTCCAGTTTTATTTTATGTGAGAAAACTATTTTTATAAAACCTGTGGTCTGTGGTTTTTGAAAGAGATAAATGAGAGGTGTAGCTTTTGGCACAGCTCTAGGTGCTAAGGAAGCATTACAGGTGAGTGTAGGTTGTCCCCATCGTCAGCGTCATGGGAGGAAATTTCTTTTTTCTTTTCTTTTTTTTTGGTTTGGTTTTTCGAGACAGGGTTTCTCTGTGTAACCCTGGCTGTCCTGGAACTCTGTGTAGACCAGGCTGCTGGCCTTGAACTCAGAGATCTGCCTCTCTGTGCCAGGCCTCCAGACTGCTGGGATTAAAGGTGTGCTATGCTACCACAATTCAGCTGATGTTTGTTTTATTTTATCAGTTTTTTTAAACATTTATTTTGTATGAACTAAATCTTGAGAATCTCAGGACAAGATAAAGTTTAACATTTGAAAACAAAAGGAAAAAATATGAATAAACAAATACTTCAAACTCTCCTGGTAATTCTGCTTGATTTTGCTTCACTTTCTGGTAGCTCAGCTTGGAAAAATTCTTCCTGCCTGTTGAACCAGTTTCTTAAGATAGGCTGTCCATAGGTGGAGGAAGGATTTCCCCAGGCTGTGAGCCTTAGTTGTAGGCTAATTAGGCTTTTAAGGAGGTGACCTTTATTCCTAAATCTAAAAAAAGAAAAGAAAGAAAAATTTGCAGATTTTTTTCGTTAATTTTTTTGAGATTTTTTAAAAATTTATTTTATTTTATGTATATGTGTGTTTACTTGAATGTACATCTGTGTACCGTGTGTATGCAGTGCTAGAGAAGGCCAGAAGAGGTGTAGGCTCCCCTGGAACTGGACTTAGAAACAGTTCTGAGCTGCTGTGTGGTGTTAGGAATTGGACCTGGGTCTTTTGGAAAAGCATTCTAACTATTGAGCCATCTCTCCAACACTATTTACAGATAATTTCAGGTACTAAAAAATTGACAGAGCTATTCATATGAAAATGTACTGAACATTTTCTGTATGGTTTGTTCTGCTTTGTTTTTATTGCTGACCTGTTATATATGAAATACTTGAAATGCATGTTATAGATAGAGAAACCTGATGAGTTAATGACATTTCCCATGCTGATCTTTACTTTGTAGGCTGGGCTGGCAAGAAATGAAAGGAATACTTTTGTAAAAATTTTCTACTGTTAGTGATCGGACTGGGGAGATGGCTCAGTAGTTAAGAGCACTGACTGCTCTTCCAGAAATCCTGAGTTCAATCCCCAGCATCTACATGGTGGATCACAACCATCTATAGTGGCATCTGATGCCCTCTTCTGGCATAAAGTCATACATGCAGATAGAGCACTCATACATCTAAAATAAATAAATAAATATTTAAAAAATCTGAGGGGCTGGAAAGTTGGCTCAGCAGTTACAAACACTGCTCTTCCAGAGGACCTGAGCTCAATTCTCAGCACCCACATGGGAGCTCACAACTGTCTATAACTCCAGTTCCAGGGGATCTGGCATCCTCACACATACATGCCAGCAAAAACACCAATGCACATAAAATAAAAAGAAAGAAGTTTTTAAAAAAAATCTGAAATTACACAGTGATTCATAAACTCTTGAGAGTGAGCTGCCCAAGGCTGAGACCACCATTCAGGGACTGTTTAACAGGAGCAGGTGCCAGTTGTCACCTCCCTGGGGGAAGTCTGTTGTTCCTGTGTGCTTGGTGTTTCTGATTGTGGGTTCTTACTGGAATTATTAAGGGGTGATTAACATTGGACATTCTTTGAAGCCTATGTCTGTGTCTTCTCTGGTAGATGAAAAACTGGAAAAGAAGATATTTTCAATTGGATGAAAACACAATAGGCTACTTCAAATCTGAACTGGTATGCAGTTACTTCATAAATATGCTTTCAAATGCCTGGCAAGTTACACTGTAATGAATGTATGCTTGTATGCTGTTTTGTTTTCCTAATTTGGTTCTGAGGGCATCTGTATTTCAGTCTACTTGGTCGTAATGCATTTGGCTAGTCACATTTTTCTTTAATGTGTTTTAAATAAAACTGCCATATCTTCAAGGAAACATTTCATTTTGATGAATCTAAAATTGTCAGCTCCCATATGTAAATCTCTGTCAGAGGGGATTGGAAGAGGTGGTAAAAGGAATCCTCTAAAAGCAGCATTCAGCCCTCTGCATGTCTGCCTTCCCTGCTCTTCTTCTTAGCCCTTTCTTTGCCTGCCTCAGATTAGCTCTTAGGTTGTTTCATCTGAGATATTTTTGTCGTGTTTTGAAGGCAGAATCAAAATTTGAGCCCTCCTCCCTCCATTTGAATAATGTACTATTTAAGAAGTCATGTAGCCTAAATCTTTCAGTAGATTATTGCATAGATTAATAAAATTCTCTGCCTTTTCAAAAGTGTGGGACTATTGTATACTCCGTACTGTACTTGAATGAAGGCATCAAAACAACGTTGTTTAGTTGAACTTTCTGTTCAGAGATATGTTCCATACCTATGTTCTGTGCAGGATACATGTGACTTTTGAGTGCTGGTAATAAACAGTATATAAGTAACTGAATTTATTTCATTTTAAAATTAAAACTAATTTTACTTCATTTTAGTAATTTAAATTTATAGTTGTTCATGGACAATAGCTACTGTATTAGGAATATTTTAAGATTTGTCTTAAGTGTCAATTCTTTTAGGAAACTGTTGTGGGGTAAAATGGCAGAAGCAGTCTGTATAAGCTGGCGTAGACAGTCAGAGCCCACATATAACGAGGAGGCTTCCCCTCCCAGCCTGAAGAGCAGAGAGGAAGGAATGCACAGGACGTGGATAGTGACAGAGATGAGAATGGTCACACAATACTTTTGATAAAATGAGGAAATATATGAAGGATAATAGAAACCTAGAAATCAAGGTTCTTGGTATAAAATCATGGTATAAAAATATAGTTTTTGCTATAACTCAACAAACATAGACTCAGATATGTATTATATACTCATGTGAGTGCATATGAGTATACCTTCCCCCCTGAAAGAATCCTGGACTCCATGGAGAAATAGCAGATTCTATACCTGGGCAAGAGAAATAAATGCAAGATGAGCCTGCAATGTCTTATGTCAGAAAGCAAGAACATGCTGAGAAAATGATAATCACCCAAAAACCACTTTACAAACAATCCCCTCACCAGATTGTGGGCAGTGAGAGTATCAGAATAACATAATGATTATAATATATTACAGCCCATATATCCATATGACTCAATGATTGGGTGGTGACTGAGTTCATGTAATTACATTGAGGGACAAGATGCCTAAATAGGAATGAGAGATCAATCTGTGAAATAAACACTGAGCCCAGAGGGAAGAGAGCAGCTGTACAGTGAAGACTGGCAGACAATCAGGTTCAGTGAACTTCTTTGGTGGTGAGGATGTTGAAACCACTGACACTTGACAGGATAGCCTAGAAAGAACACAGCATCAGTTTTGTGCTGCCCCTGTTGAAGGTGAATAGTCTGAGTTTAGTCACCAGGGGACAGTAGCCACATCCGAGGGAGGGGACAATCTACAAAATAAAGTAACTGTTGTGATCTGCAGGGTTCTACAGTCCTCATTCTACAGGAGTGAGACCTTTTTTTTTTTGAATATTTATTTGTTTATTATGTATACAACATTCCTTCCATGTATGCTGCAGGCCAGGAGAGGGCACCAGATCTCATTACAGATGGCTGTGAGCCACCATGTGGTTGCTGGGAATTGAACTCAGAACCTCTGGAAGAACAGACAGTGCTCTTAACCAGTGAGCCATCTCTCCAGCCCAGGAGTGAGAACTCTTCATCCTAAAGGAAAAGAGAGACAGTGAGTGAGCATTCTTACCCCGTAAGACAACGTGGAGGCCACTTGCTGACTGTGATGCCCATAGCGTGAGGACTTAGGTAGTAGACTAGAGCAGCAGCTCAGCTCGAAGTGACCGTGTTCTTAGTCTTTTTGTAAGGTTCTGGTTGTCTCATGGTTCAAAGAGAGACAGAAAATTGAGAGGAAAATATCTGGCATGGAAAGAAACAGAAAAAGCAAACAATTCATTTAGAAAGAAATTGAACGTAGTGTGAAGCTAAATGGTAGCATGTATACCCAGTGTATCTGAGGCCTTGGGGTTAGAGCCTTAGTACTACTGTGTAACAGTGTTCAGTGTCACTCAGGATCAGGGAAATCCAGATGTACACTGCACAGATAGAGATTATTAATCATGAGGCTGTGGCTGAGGGAAAGATCACAGATCTGTTCCCAGAGAAAATAAGTGGAGAAGAAGTAGTGTTTCTTTAAATTCCAGGTTGGTATGTATGTCAGTGATAGTAGAAAAATCACCATTTGGCAGTCAGTTATGCCAGTAATAATGATTTCAGGTAAGAATCCTCAATATTTGATAAAACTGGTGGGGAAATTATGTTGGAAAATCGAGTACTGCATAGGCTCCAAATGTCTCAGTGGTGACCAATATGAGTCATGTACCAGCAGTTGGTCAAGTCCATGCCGTGCACCTCCTGGTAGGGATGGCTGAGAAGTAGTCAGTACTGTGGTTTCCTTCTAGAAGCATGTGGCCTACGCATCAGAATGAATAAACATCAGACAGACCCAGACTGGGACACAGTCTGTGAAATAAGTGGGCGATTTACAGCTCTGCAAGATCACGGAAGACCAAAGAAGTAACTGCTCTGAAGTAAAGGAGACGAAGAGAAGGGACAGTGAAGCAAGTCTGCCATAGACTCTGAATCTTGGACAGAAAATATGTCAGCTTGTCTTCTGCCATGACGGACACCCATGGGATAACTTGTAAGATCAGAATGTGACCTGTGGATTGTGGTCATACTGCAAAGATGTTGAGGTCCGAGCTTCATAACTATGCCGTGATCATGGAAACTCTGTTTTAGAAGTTAAATGCAAGTACCCAGTAGTATAGATATACCATGTCTTTATCTTACCTGCAGGTGCTCCCTAAGTGTGTATTCAGACACATGTGCACAGGCTTATAGCAAAGCGGGGCTTGCTGCACGGTGCTGCTGATGTCAAGATAGCATTCCAAAAGAGGAAATAGAGCACTTACTGGTCCTCATGGTCCACCTTGACCAAGTCTGCTGGTTAGCGACTGTCATTGAGACCAGAGAACTATAAAACAGCTGTGTGTGTAAGGCCATAAAGCTGACCTGCTGCTGCAGGTTTCAGAAGGTACAGTTGTGTCTGAGATTGACTTGAAATGTCCTGTGTCTCTTTGCTTTTTTGCCAGGAAAAGGAACCTCTGCGGGTAATACCACTTAAAGAAGTTCATAAAGTCCAAGAGTGTAAGCAAAGGTAAGGGACCGCCTGACGCTGGCACAGAAGAACAAACAACGCCTCGCCTGGTTCATGAACTTACAGCTTGTGCTTCTCCATCTTATGAGAATTTTAAACTGTGGTTGAGATATGCTGCAGTTTTGTTCTTTAATCTGTAAGGTATTGCGATCTTTTATTTGAAAACTACAAATTACTCATTTATAAATGGCATTTCAGAAGTAGCTCATTGATGCAAAGGAAAAATTATGAGAAATTAATAAGGTGCAGAGAACAGGTTGTCACAAGGAGTTGCACCTGATGTACCATGCTGAATTGAATAAATTGTAAGCACTTAGACTCTAAAGTTGCTTTATGATTGTTCTCTAAATGAGTTGTAATCAAAACTGAGAAAAGATAATATGGCTTTGTTAAATTAGTGTTTTCTCTCTAAACATTTAATGACACATATTTGGTACTGAGTAAACAGCTGAAAGAGAAACTGTCAAAACTGATTTACATGCAACTGGATGATTGTTTTTCATAACAGTGACATAATGATGAGGGACAACCTGTTTGAAATTGTAACGACGTCTCGAACTTTTTATGTGCAGGTAAGATACTTGGAGATTATAGATTGTCTTACAAGCAGTTAATAACATTCAGAGGTGAAATAAATATAGATAAACCTTGTCTGTTTTGACAAATGTAATTTACCAGCTTATTGAAAGATGTCAGGTGGTGGTTGGTGGTGGGGTATATGTTTAGAAATGAGGGTTATTGCGGTATGAATTAGTGATATCAATCAAAGTCACATTTGGAAGAAAAGAAGTGCTGTTTTATTTATATTTTAGCATTGTGCCTTCAAGTGTATTTTCTTTCTGTGTTTTTAATATTTTTTAACTTTATAAAAATGGAAGCCTCAAGTATATAAATGAAATTATTGGACAGAGCATGAAGATTTTTTGTTCATGAAGATTAGCACATTTGCTTATTGCAGAAAAGTTAAGAAAATGATAGTTTATAAAATACACACACTCTCATATCCAAGCACTGATTCTTACAGCAAGCAAGGCCATATGCTACATGTATAAAATCTTGTTTGTTTTCCTATATTGTCATTTTCCCTGTGTCATTAAAAGTTGTTTGGCAATAACTAAATCTGGTGGCTCTTGTGTTTAATCACACAGTTCAAGGCATTCAGGAGGAATAGGCCGGTAGATCCTGGTGAATCTGGCCAGCCAGGGCTGTGTAGTGAGATCCTGTCTCAGAAAACTCAATCAGACAAACAAAAGCCATCTCTGCAAACATTTTAGAATTTCACTACACTCACTCCACGTACGGCTGTTTCTCAAGTTCTGGTCTTTGTGACTACACATTTATTTAGAGTTTTCATACATTTACTGTGAAATATGATGAAGGGAACATCTAGATTTAAAATTTGACCTAAATTTCTAAATTTTTAGGTTGTTCTAGGTCAGATTTAACCACCAGAGCGGTCTTGAAAAACAAAACAAAAGTAAATAATTAAAAATAAACAAAAGTGCTCTGAAAACTTTTTAAAGAAATTATTGTCTTTGAATGTGTTTGCAGGTGACATTTTATTGCCACGGTATGGAATATATGGAAATAGAAGGTGATTTGGAGAGAAATTTCACTGAGATATCCCTTTTATTTCCTTTAGGCTGATAGCCCTGAAGAAATGCACAATTGGATTAAAGCAGTCTCTGGCGCCATCGTAGCACAGCGGGGACCTGGCAGATCAGCATCTTCTGTAGGTTTCTCCTTGGGGAGACTCTGCATCCTTTGCTGTTGTTTTCTTCCTCTCCCCTAGTCCTTTGGTTTCTATTTTGTTGAGATTATTTGCATGTTGACTTTTCATACCAATTGGACTTGCAAAAATAATGCACCCTAATTCAGAGCTTCCTTGTAGTGTCACATGTACATGACTTTCTGTGCACATTGTGTTAATGCACAAGCTGGGCAGCTAAAGAATAGAGCCTTTCTTCCTTTGTTATTGCAGTTAGGTTCTTGTTAGTAGGTCTAGGTGTGGCGATTTGGCCCTCTTGATGTGGCATTGGCCTGGCCATTCAAGGCACTTTCAGTTCTAGCAAAACAGTTTTGTGATGTCTTGATTTCCCCTTTACTTGCCAATTTTCAGTTAAGATTTTTTTCCCTTAGTGGTATTGGAATACCACTAACCAAATTAGAGCCTTAAGTACAGTTTTGTGTTCCCATTCAGCTTTTTCCTATTTCATGGTATTTAAAATTTTTAGCAGGTTGATAGAAAAGCTTATTTATCTTTGCTGTAGTTTGATAGTTACATTGGAACAACTAAATGATCTGTTCAGATATAGCAAGAGAAACATTTGTTGTTCATTTTGTTTAAATGAATCCTAAAAAATAGTCTGTCAGGGGGCTGGAGAGATGGCTCAGTGGTTAAGAGCATTGCCTGCTCTTCCAGAGGTCCTGAGTTCAATTCCCAGCAACCATATGGTGGCTCACAACCATCTGTAATGAGATTTGGCACCCTCTTCTGGTGTGTGGGCATATATGCAGGCAGAATGTTGTATACATAATAAATAAATAAGTAAATCTAAAAAAAAAAAAAAGAAAAAAGAAATAGTTTGTCAGAAATACTTTGGTCATTCATTTCTGTTCTGAAAATGCAAACCCTTTTGAGAAATTACATCTTAAAAGTTGCCAGCTGTCCTGGTGTGCTGTGTCATAGCCTAGATATCCTGTACTTTCATTATTTTTCCAGGTAGTAAGAGAGTGATAATAACAGATCAGTAGATAGTAATCCGTTTTTCCCATTCCTTAATCATTTATCATTATACTAGTATTCCTTTAGGAATATTGAAGAAATCTCTTTCATGGGTGTTAGTTTTGTAACTGCCTGCATTTTATGTGACTCTTTCAACAATCAAGTATGAGATTCTCTGCAAAAACAATGTCTGTTGGGAAGAGGGAAAATTGGAGAAGGGTGTTTGTGTTCTGTGCTTTGTGGTGGGGCAAATCGGACTGAGCTGTGACTATCAGCAGAATTCTCTCTTTTCCTCCCTCTCCCAATATAGGTTAACTCTAATCTTAGCTTTGCACTGTGTTCCAGATGCGGCAGGCCAGAAGGCTGTCGAACCCTTGTATACAGAGGTATACATCAAGAGCTGGTGAATGCAGCACGTATGTGGGCTCTCATGCAAATGTGCCTTCTTAGTAGAGGGCCTGGACTCGCTCCCTACTTACAACTGATCATAGAAGGTTGAGTTAACTGGACTGCCTTTTGCAGTTGTCATCACTAACGCAAACTATTTTACTGTAGTCATCAGATTGAGTTAGTATAGTAAAAAAAAGACAAAAGCAACCCTACTAATGGAAGCTTCCAGAGCTTCAGTAACTAACTGACTGAATTGCTGCAAGAGTTTTGATTTCCATGTTTTACGTATTTTGAGATTGTTATTTTATACAGCACTTAAAATGTGCTTTTTTTTTTTCTGATCCAGGCAAACTTCTGCACGCATCCACCTTGGATAAACTTTGTCACCAGAATTGCATGGTATTTTATAGCTCTGGTGAAGTTTACCTTATAATGGGAGCCTGTAGTGTTTGCTGATTGTGGTGCTATTATCAAGGCAGCTAGTATCCTAATGAGTGCACTCCAGGAGCTGCCCAGCACTCCAGTGTCACCAGATTTGTTACTAGACGTACAATAAAGTCAGTCTTCACGACTGGTCTTACTTCATCAGTTTTAAAAGTGATTCAGATGTACCCATTCTTACTTTTAAAATCTTAAACCATATGAATGTGTGACTTACCAAAATAATTAAATCAGCTGCCATAATTATAGTGAAATTAATAGAAGCAAAAAAAAGTTGTCAGACTACTCGACAAAATCATGTCTGAAAAGTCTGAAAAGCCTTTCATTTTTATGTTTTGTCTTTTTTTTTTTTTTTAAAGACTTGGGATAACCCCTATTATTCTTAAATGCGGGTAGACTCTTCTTTCAACACAATTCAGTTGCAGTTGGAACACTGTATTTCATTTTAGGCTAGCTAGGCCTTCAAAGTGCCATAAGTTGACAAATTCAGCTTTGGTGACAGAATCAGTTTCTTAGTAGAATTGGTTGTTGGCTATCATTGCTTTGAACTTACCCCTAAAATGCATTGCTTTGGGAAGGAACTTGCACATTTACGCTGCATGGCTCATGCTTCTGCTTTGTGTGTGTGCGTGTGTGTGTGTTGTTTGTTTTTCAGAGAATCAAGTCTCACACTGAGTGAATGACTAACTTCATTGTCAGTGATTAGCTGTGTCTGACCACCTTTCCTCTTTCCAGGAGCATTCCGGCTGCCCTTCAGAATCCAAATACACTGGCCGTCCTGCCGGGGCAGCAGCAGCCACCTCACATTCCGCAGCCTCTCGCAGCCACTCTCTGGTCTCAAGCTATACCATGGAGAAGCGAGGATTTTACGAATCTCTTGCCAAGATCAAGCCAGGGAACTTCAAGGTCCAGACTGTCTCTGCAAGAGAATCAGCTTCCAAAGTGACTGAACAAGCTCTGCTTAGACCTCAGAATAAAAATGGCCCTCAGGGAAAAGATGGTGAGCCAGTGGACTTAGATGATGCCAGCCTGCCAGTCAGTGATGTGTAAGGCTGCCTGCCCCACTCATCCCTCAGTGTCCTTTCATGAGGATTCTAGCCAAAGATGATAGAGGATGAATGGTTTCAGTGCATATATTATATTGTCTCTTGGGTGTACTCTATAAACTGGCAAACCAAGAATCTAGGGAGTGGCCAAGTCAGTGTAATTTCTTTAAGAAAGGAAGGAAGAAAGCTGTGTCCATATCAACTGTCTGAAGCTTTATGTTTGGGTGGTAAAAATGTGTGTGTGACTTTTTTTTTCTAGTGACTTTGAAATTTTAAATAACAACTTAAAACATTAAAATTTCTTATTATTTGGTCATTTAAAAATGCTAATATGACTCCCTATGAAATACTCAATATTTACACATTCTTATCACTTAACATTATCAACTGGGACATTGCCAGACAAAAATTCTTAAACTCATGTCTGTGGTGCTGCAAAATTTATATTGCAATGTGGATTATATAGAAATTCTAACCATTTTTGATATCAGGTGAGTGGTAAATTTTGCATAGAAGATTTGATTAGACTGTTGGTGCAGGTAGGGGTTGAACAGGGGTGGAGCAGCAAGGGTGAGGGATTAGAGCTAAACTATAGCTAAAGTTTTTTTCTTTTTGGTGAGGATTTTTTTTTTTTTTTGAGACAGGGTTTCTTTGTAGCCATGTCTGTCCTGGAACTTGTGGTGATCCTCCTGCCTTTGCTGCCTCCCAAATTATAGGCATGTGTTACACAGTGTGATACTTGGTTGAAAAAGCTTAGAATTTGCACCTATCAGTATTTTATTTCAGTAAAAATTACTTGGTTATAAATTTTGGGAAGATCTGATTTTTTTTTCCCCAAGACAGTTTCTCTCTGTAGTCCTTGTTGTTCTGGAACTTCTTCTGTAGACCAGGCTGGCCTAAAACTCACAGAGATCCTCCTGAGTGCTGGGATTAAAGGCATGTACCACCAATGTCCAGCTGATTTTTTTGTTTTGTTTTGTTTTTGTAAATAGATCTTATTTTTAAATTTGGATTAGTGAAAGACCTCTCAGTTCATATGTGAATTCATAACTGCCCTTAGTCATGAAATTGTTGTGGCCTCTACTTTTTCATCATTAATAACCTATATTCAAGTGCCTGTGTCTTCTCATCTCATTTAGGATGTGCTCCAAGTCCTACATGATTGGCTTTAAATGTTTGAATAAATTAATTTCAATAGCATAGTTTGATATGTTAAATAAGATAGCTTTTTATGTCAGGGACACCAGAATGTTGGTGTTCTACTATCTGTGCAATATTTATGTCTTGAAATAAATTGGAGTATGCATTTAATCGTGGGGATCTCCTAAATGGAAGTACCTCTCTAAAGAACCCATAGTTTCTGGTGTCGAGTGATAGACTGGTTTGAGCAAGTACTGTTTTGTGGCAAAGTCTTAAGTGTTTGCTTTCCCAGGCTGCTGCTCTATAGTATTCCCAGTCCCGCACACTTCTGTTTTGGAGACATGGGTGTTAGTGTTTTGCCTTTTTATGTTCTAAGACTACTTGTTGGAGGAGGAAGAGGAAATCGCTTCTGTGTGGGGTCGAGGGGCCGAGATGTGTTATTTAGTTGCCCAGCACAAGAGCATACCACTTACCTTTTGTATTCATAAGCTAATATGTTAGAGTTCTGTGTAGTTTTCTTTTTTGCAACTGCATTGGAAAACCATAGGACAACGAGGTTTTTAAGCAGTCACCACGCTTCTGCTGCTGTGTTCACTATCCAGGCTCTTGGGGAAGTTCCTTTTTCATGAACATACTTAGGAACTGTGTACAGATACTTCGCAGTATTGACGAGCCTGGCGCTGTTTTCTTTGGTACAGCCTCCACAGTGCACGTTTATTTTAGCATATTTTGGTATTGGTAATTTGATATATTTCATGGTGGCAAAATATTAGCTCTATTTTGGGACTTTTTATAGAATTACCCTTATCCCAAAGCATAGGAATATGTTCTTGTGGTTGTCAGAATTTCTTAATATTTATCTCAATTCTTTTGTAAGCTAATGGAAATTATTTAATTATTTTAAAACATACCTTCTTGTAAATATGTCACATCTGAAGTGTCAACAGTTACTTTGAATACCGTAATGTTTGCTGCATTTTTTCCTGTGTGTATATTGTATCTCCTTTCAGAACAGGAATGTGCCTCCTGATGTTTACTGTTACACCTGCTCTCTTTGTATGTCCGATTGGTTGAACACTGTAATGACTTGAGAATAAACTGCTCAGAATTCATTTTCACTTCATTCTCATTTTGTTTGGTTCAGGTCTCGTGTGAATAAGAACCGTTTTTTGGTTAGTTCATTTGCTTACCTTTGAACAAATAAGTTTCACATCAGGTGGTGGTGACCTTTGATCCCAGCACTCAGGAGGCAGATCCCAGCCTAGTCTGCAGAGCAAGTCCAGGACAGCCAGGGATACAACAGAGAAACTGTCTCAAAAAAACAAAAGGGAAAAAAGAAAAGAAAATTCACATTCTTAAATTCTTAGGGTTTATTTTTTTGTGTTTTGTTGTTTGAGACAGAGTCTTGCTATATCATCTTAACTGGCCTGAAACTCATTATGTAGACCAAGCTGACATTGAAATCACAGAGATCCTCCTGGCTCTGCCTCCCGAATGCTGGGCTATAAAAGTGTGTACCACCAGACCCAATAGATCCATGAATTCTGAAGACAGTTGTATATGAAATCCTATGAAGAAAATGTCTGTGTGTTTAAAAAGCTTGCTTATTTTACTTAAAAAACGAACAAAAAGCATATTCTCAAAAGCAACATTAAATGTAAAAATTACCTATGAAGCATGTTTGGATCATCTGTGCTGCATAGGGCTCTTGATTATTTGTCAGTCTGAGCTGAGGCAAAACTAATTGCAGAAGGCATAGGACCCACCCCCCTTACCCCCCCCCCCCACGCAGATTACCTGCCATGTGGGGAGTGGTGGGGAAGAGATTGAGATGTGAGGAGATGCAGTCAAACCCCAAACAAAACAAATCTAAGAACCTTTACCCCTGCTTTTTGCAAATTTTCTTTTTGATAGTGAACTCGGCTGACCAACTATGGTGAACTCTATGTCTAGAGTCTAACTCAGTGCCTGCTTCCCAGAGACAGTTCAAACACTTACCAATTGAGTGAAGGATGGGCCACTAATGTAAAATATAATGAACGACACTTATTATTTAAAATACAAAAAGCTGTGTTTATATATTGCTTTGGGACTGGAGAGAGTCTCAGCAGTTAAGAGCATGGTAGTGCACGCCTTTAATCTCAGCACTCGGGAGACAGAGGCAGGTGGATCTCTATGAATTCGAGGCCGGCCTGACCTACAAAGTGGGTTTCAGGACAGCAAGGGCTGTTATATAGAGAAACCCTGTCTCAAAACAAACAAAAAGCAAACATGTACTGCTCTTGCAGAGTTCAGTTTCCCAACACCTAACCTGTAACTTCAATTCCAGGGAATCCGACCTCCTCTGCTGGTTTGAATGAGAATGATTCCCACAGGCCCGTATATTTGTGTGTTTAGTCCCCAGTTGGTGAACTGTTTGAAAAGATTATGAGGTATGGCCTTGTTGAGAGTTCTGTCAATGGTTTCAAAAGCCCACACCATGCCCAGTTTCTTTCTCTCTGCTTGTTGCTTTTGGATCAGGATATAAATTCTCAGCTATTTCTCCAGCACCATGCCTGCCTGCATACTACTGCACACCCCAGGATGATAATGAACTGACCCTCTGAAACTATAAGCAAGCCCCAATTAAATTTAAAAATATAAGGCTGGATGTGGTGGTACATACCTTTAATCCCAGCAGTTGAGAGGCAGAAGCAAACGGATTTCTTTGAGTTTGAGGCCAATCTGGTCCACAGAGAGAGTTTCAGTCTAGCTGGGGCTGCATGGTGAGACCTTGTCTCTAAAAAAGAAAGGCAACAAAGTTCTAATAGCTTAATCTTAAATCTCATATAAAAGCTTGGTGTTTGGCAGGGTTTGAAAATCTATTCAAGACATGATTAGAAGCATATTTAATTAGATGGTTTTGTATTTTCCATTTGCTAACTTTCACATTACAGAAATTAAAGTTCAATTTTCCCCATTTTACAGAAATTAAAGTTCAATTTTCCCCATTTTCAAATGATTTGTAAAAATTGTATCTTCCTTAAAATAAATTCCTTGGTCCCCTTAGCTTTCAGGCATTATAGGTAGCCCTCAGACCTCTTCAAAAAACAAAAATCCATTGTATACATGTGTGAAATTTTCAAAGAATAAATATACATTTAAAAAGATGTATTTTTCCCAAACATCAAGATGTATTTGGAGTTCAGTGGGTAAGAACACTTGCCACACAATATGGAAACCAGTGATATCCACGTAAAAAGCTGGTATGGTCATCATTTCATGCCTGGCCCCAGAGCTGGTAGGGGCAGGTACATGAGGTTCAGTGGACCTGGTGGCTGCCAGGCTGCCTTCAGGTTCAAGGAGAGACCCAGACCCGACAGAGCAGGACACGCAGATTCCTCTGGCTTCCATGTGGGTGCACCTACATCCGCATGTGTACACATATACCCCCCCCACACACACAAAATAATAAAAGTAAAAATTTTTAAATGACTTGTGTTTAAAAATATTGCTGAACTGGTTAGTGTTTGTAATACCAGTTGATGAAATCTAGTTCGCTGCCCTGACATCGAAGTGGTTTACTAGCGTCTGTTCGTGTGACAATAGTGCCACCTTCTGGTATTGGTTGCTACAGTTAAAGTAATTTGACGTGTTTTATTTTACCCAACAGGAAATGAGAGCCGTGGCAGCGTAGGATAACTTTGAAATTCATAGAAATTTGAAATCACCTTTCCTAAATGATTGTCATTAAACTTTTTAGTAGATAACTGTAGCTTCCCATATATAAGAAATAATAGAGAGAAGCTGGGCATGTCCACAGTGAAATGCCATCTCATAAAACGATAGAATACAGGATTGTCTTTGTATGCCCTTTACTCAGTTTCCCCCCAGTTATCTCTTATAAAGTTACAGTACAGTCTTAGAATAGATATAGATATTCTATCCCATGATAGAGTCCAGAAACACAACAGTCCCATCACTGCGGGACCCCTCTTTATCTTAGTAGAGTCATAGCCATCTGTACAGTTTGGACCAAACTCTTTGAATTCCCTAAAGGCACATTAGGGTTTATGTCTGCAGGCCAGAAGAGGGCACCAGACCTCATTACAGATGGTTGTGAGCCACCATGTGGTTGCTGGGAATTGAACTCAAGACCTTTGGAAGAGCAGGCAATGCTCTTAGCCACTGAGCCATCTCTCCAGCCCAACACATTAGGGTTTAAAACAGTCTTCAGGTGCTGAAGTGTAACCCTTAGTCCCTTTGGTATTTTGCTGTGTGTGTAGGAGTCTTGAGAACTGCCCTTTATGTCTCCTGATGAGTAAGTGATGGAATTCTTGGGTTGTTATCAGACAGCCATTTCACATGACAGATGTCTTTATGCATTCTTTTCAGTTAACTTGCAGAATAGGGAAATTCTTTGTTGGTAACCATAGTGCAAGAGTTCAAACTGATTTTTTAAAAACATTTTTAAAGATTTATTTCTGTGGACATGAGCATGTGAGTGGAAGTCAGAGGACAGCATTCAGGAGTGAGTTTTCTCCTACCCTGTGGGTACTGGGGACTGAACTCAGGCCTAGTGTAAGGCGCCGTCTTGACGGCTCATCAGGCTTTGGATGTAGTTGTAGAGCGTGAATATAAAGAATCATTTTATATATGTGACTGGTGGATGTTTTTCTCCTTTTGATCACTTGGAGTTAAAGTCAGATTCTTGCCTTCCATGTACTGCAGACCTAAGGTAAGAAGCACTGTATCCGAGAGGACTTCTAGGAATGCCCTAGAAGAACAAGGTGCTTC